ACCGTACCCTCCCTTTCCCCATCTCCAAGTAGTCTTCATCTCATCCCAAACAGCCAATACATGGGTTGATTCGGCATATCTCCAGCCCTTCTTCTATTTCCCGGCGGTCCGAGAGATCGACGGCGGACCCGTGGGCGAGTCAGACCGGGACGGCACCGAGACCTGGTCGCGGGACATCCGCCATTGTTTACGCCCGGTGCGCGAGCTCACTATCAGGTCGGCGTGGTGGTGCCACGGCATGCTCGATGGCTCGCCGCGAGTCCGGCGCTCGAGCATGTCGCTCTTGTCTTCGGGCTGCACCCGGATGAGGGCCGCCTGCCGGATAAGTGCAGGTTCCACGCTCCGGAATTCCAACACGCGCTCCTCCCGTTCACCAGGACGCTGCGAACCCTTCACCTACAGGTCGAAGACCCATTTGGGGAGGACTGGCGGTCGGTCACCAACGACAGGCGGCCGTTCGGGTCCCTCTGGGAATTCGCCGTGCTCGGCGAGCTGCGCATGCGGTGGGTGCACCTCCTGCAAGCAACCCCGACCCGGGTTTCCCGCTTCCGCGAGAACAAGACGCGGTCGCTCGTGGAGATCTTCCCCGCCTCGCTGAGGCGGCTAGACGTGCTGGAGCTCGCGCAGCACCATTATATCGACCTGTTGTTGCAGCTGTCGCGGTTGGTGCAGCACCGGACCTCGTTCCCGCGATTGAGGCGAGTTTGAGTCTACGTGAAGGAGGTAGATAAAGACCTGCGGAGCGCTTTCAGCAGGAATTCGCGTTTACGGGGATCGACGTGACGGTGGAGGTGCAAGAATCTATTTGGTAGGAATGGGTGGGTTATCATTCACGGGGTAAAGGAATAGTATAAGCTGGCAATGAATCGACGAACGCCCACGGCACTAATCCCCTCCACTCCCACGATCCGTTTCCTTAGGTCACTTAATGATGCCCAGACTTGGGCTTGACAGTACATTAGACTATTGTGTTTATTCTCGGAGTAAGCAGTTCGACCGGACTACTATTTTCCCTTCCTGCTGACCTTGAGGTATCTACGTTTATCTCTCGATGGGACTCTCTTGTCTGACCCGCTAGTGACCGCAGGCTCTTGCATGGCCCGCATGCACATACAACTAGTATACACCTAAGTCTTTGTACGTGATGATATACACAAGGCAGAAGCCTGTCCGCCGACTTGAGTGAATAAGACAAGGAGGCCGGAAGAATCCAATGTCGGTGACGCGGCCTCAACTGAGACAAGCAGTCGAAAATGAGAGTAGGCATTCGACATACCAAGTGACACATATAGTATAGGCTATAGAGGATTCTACAGACGAGCAGCTTATACGAAGCGATTGGATTGCTCGAAGAGAGCCTTGAGTGACACGTGCCGAACAGTATTGATACCATACCATAGGTAAGGTAGTAATCTATTCGACTCTCGTTAGGGCCCTGACCATAAATTACCACTAATTACAGGCCGACGGGTAAGACCCGAGCGGCAGGACCCGCTGCTGCACGGCATGACATGGGCCCGCTTCTCCACATTGAGCGGTACCGTATGGAATACAGTACGATACATACACAGCGTACAGCACAGTACACTGTTCCCGAACTATATATAAGGGGACACACGTCGGCACTCTGCAACCACAGAACACGATCTGGAGCTTCTTGATGGGGAGCATGTGTAGTCGTTGGCTTTATCCTTAGATACTGAATAATTGAATTATTGTGCTACTGAAACTAAGATGGTAACACCGCAAGGGGTACCGTCTCCGCAGGTGGCAAGGCCCGGACTGCACGCTGGATGAGGCGCAGCCCGCCGCCGTGCTATCTGTAACCGAGTGGGAGGAGTTGATGCACTGGGATGGCGGGGCTCTGGCACGATCTGCAACGCCGGCGCATATGACTGAGCGGCTCGTACATCTGTTCATGGACGCCTCTTCGATCTCTGTCGGGCTGTCGGAGGTCACCGCTGATCCTTCCACACAAACGGAGTAGTCCTCTACCATACGGAAGTATAGTGAAGCCAACCTCGTGCAATGCCTGAAGATATAGTCCCCGGTCAAGTCAGAACTTCCCTGAGCTTTTTAGTGTCACTCTCTTCCACAAACATTATGACCCCCATTATGTCTTGGCAATTTTCGAACAATCTTCTCCTCCAGAGAGTAGTGAACACCATTATTGACACAGTACGCTTGAGGCATTAAGTTCTCTTCTAATGTTGAATTAGTCCAATATATGGGGTTGATATACATATGGGATTCATGATATTGGAAAAGGCCACTAACCCCCAAGCGGGGAATACAAGCCGCGGAACCCCCGCGTAGGCGGGGGCAGTTTCGGAGTGATTTTCCACCTCTGCTGAGAGGTCTTCTGCTAAACTGGGCATGCCCGGTTGCCCAGTTTGGATATTGCCAGCAATTTCGGATACCCAGGCCGAGGTGTAAGTGTGCTGTCCTAATTTTGCTTAGACCTAGAAGTGCTAGCTAATGTACAATTCCTAAGTTGTTCCGCTAGTTCACTATACTAACTTCATGCCCAGTTACTGGGCAGGGCCCTACGACTTCAAATGTCCAGCGCAGCAGAAGACCTCTATTAAGAGGTCGCTTTGGCTGTGGCCCTCGGATTTGCGTTACTTCAGTGGATGACCTTTTTTTATCGTCATTTTCAACATGGTCAAGCATGCTCTCAAGGCAGACAGCGAGCTGGCGAGTTCTCAGCCAGACATTTCGCCGTCCAGCGCGATGCCTACAAGCCAGCAGCATTTCTATGATAGGGTCCTCCTCTTCCCTACTCTATGTAACTCCAAGGAATACGAGCCGTGGAAAAAGTATTTCTTCACCGGGATTGTTTCCCTGGCTGCCGTCGCGGCACCACTTCAAAGCAACATCTTATTGCGTGAGTTTTCGTCAATCTACTCGATATCTAATGCATTCAGTCTCAACGCAACTGACAAAAATCCAATCACACAGCCGCGCTGTCGGATATCTCCACTTACTTTCAAGTCTCTCGATCACTGGTAAACCTGTCCGTCGCATTCTACATCCTGGCCATGGGGATCATCCCGCTCTGGTGGTCGGTCATCTCGGAGCTGTACGGCCGGCGCCCGGTCTACCTGATCTCCTTTGCAATTTTCGTGGTGTGGAATGTGGTCTCGGCAGAAAGCACCTCAATCAGCATGCTGATTGTCATGCGGGTTCTATGCGGAGGGGCATCGGCCTCAGTGCAAGCGGTAGGGGCAGGAACCGTGGCCGACCTCTGGGAAGTGGAAAGGCGCGGACAAGCTATGGGATATTTCTTTCTGGGGCCGATGGTCGGTCCGCTGGTATCTCCCATCCTCGGGGGTATCCTGACTGAGAAGGTCGGCTGGCGCGCCACTCAATGGGCCACTGTTGTCTACGGCGCCATTGTCTGGCTTCTCATTCTCTTTTGTCTCCCTGAAACCTCTCAGGCTGCTGCTCATAAGCCACCTTCCTCTTCTTACAGCAACCAAGAAGGCTCCAAGGCGATCCTGTCGCAAATTCGCCGTATCTTCAGCATCTTCCTTGAGCCGTTCAAGATCCTAGCGTACTTGCAGTTCCCACCGGTCCTGCTCACCGTTTACTACGCCAGTAGCACGTTCGCCTGCTACTATGCCGTCAGTATCACCCTGCAAACCCTCTTCTCCGAGGCCCCGTATTCCTTCTCGCCCATCATCGTCGGCCTCGTCTACATTCCGTGCGCCCTGGGCTCGATCGTGGCCTCGCTGCTGGGCGGCCGGTGGACCGACCACATTATGCGGCGACGGGCAAAATCCGCTGGGAGGCTGAATTCGGAGACCGGCCAGATCCAGTACCTTCCTGGGGATCGGATGGGCGAGAACGCGTGGCTGGCCTCGGTGATATACCCGGCGGCGGGGCTGTGGTTCGGCTGGACGATTGATAAGGGCATCTTCTGGCTCGTTCCAGTAAGTATTTATTCTTATGACCATGTTCATCATTAGGGTTGGTGCTGATAGTCTCCCCTAACTACTATGCAGTGCATTGCGACGTTCTTCTTCGGCCTCGGAAGCAGCACAGTCTTCAGCATGACGTCGACTATGCTGACGGAATTACTGCCCGGGCGGACCAGCACTGGCGTGGCGCTGAACAACGTGCTGCGCAATGCCCTTGCGTGTCTCGTCGTGGTGGTCATGCAACCGTTGATTGATGCCATTGGACCCCGGTGGATCTTCACTGGATTGGCGGTCATCGGCTGGGCGAGTGTCGGGATCTTGTGGTTGTTCAGATGGAATGCGGTCGCATGGGCCGCGGATATGGAGAGAAAACTGGCTAACAGATAGATGTTTCGTGGTGGTTATCTTCTGCTGATTTCTTTCGGTGCTTGTTGGGCACATATATGTAGGGCAGTACCTAAGTAGAGTATGAAGGAATATTCAAGCATTGGGCGGGAGCTACCGCCGGTCGATTACCCGTCCTCGGTTGCTGCACCAATAAGTCGCAAAGCTCCAATGGAATGTAGACTGTTTTCCATAAGAGCTTATTCTTGCAGTGTTATCCCGTATTGGGCATTGATCTTCAGGCATGGTGACGTATCCGCATCCTGTTTCAGAAATCTGGCGTTGATTCAGCATAGATATGCATTGCATTGGGTGTACAAGCGATCTCTGTCTACCCCGGCTCGGCAGCATTAGCCGACCCGCTTATCCCGATGGAACGTTTTATGCACTTCATCTTGTGTATAACCGCTTCATCTTAAGTCTCCGTCACCGACTATATGTGAAACCAGCCGTGATCTGCAATACGGAGTCACAATAATGAGCTCTCAGGGACGGAATCAGCATACAGAATGGGGAAAATGGAAAAAGCCTCATCTCGCTCGTTTCTAGATAGCGTCCTTCCCCTCAAATTATTTAAAGATGGCAGGGGCACATGAATCGATTCTATCTTGCCACTCAACCAAAATCTTTCTTTCCCATTCCTGCATCTAAGCATAAAGCACCCACCTTACTAGACGTTTGTGTCAAGCGACCATGGTCGGTGTCATCGATCCAGCACCCGGAGCGTTCAACGCCCCGGGAAGGCTTCTCGTGACCCAAGTCGATACTGTTGCAAAGCATTCTCCGACCAGACGTTTTGGCCTGATCCCCAATGGCACCGAAGTTGAACAGGGCTTTCGGGAGATGACTTTCCGGGATCTCTCCTGCGCAGTCAATGCCATGTCTTGGTGGATCGACGACACCTTGGGCAAGCCGCAGCCGGGAGAAAGGATTGCGTATCTGGGGAATAATGATGTGCGCTACATCATCTTTATGCTTGCGTGCCATAAGGCAGGCTATACGGTTTGTTTTCCGCGGTGCGATTCTTACGAGGGGATTGCGATTAACCATCAACATTGGAATTTGCTTATAGATCTTTCTACCCTCCACTCGGCTGTCGGATGAGGCATATAATCATGTTCTCAGGGAAACAAAGTGCACGCATCTGCTTTTCAGCCAAGAGAAGTTGAAGATTGCTTCCAGATTGAGAACCTTGGACTGGAAGATGAAGTTCCAAGAGGTACCATCTGTGGCGGACATCCTCAACAATAGAAGTGGCACGAATCACTTCAAATTCTCCCAGACCTATGGTGAGGTGGTGGACAAGATTGCTTTCATAATCCATAGTTCTGGAACAACCGGTACATTCGAAGCGACTGATCCGGAAGGATTATAGGGCTAACGCTGTCAGCAGGCATGCCTAAACCTGTTCCTCTCACCCATGGCTTCCTGGGTACGATGGACTTCGGCGCATTGATCCCTTTGCCTCCGGGACGGTCTTCGGCATTCTTCAATGACCTGGCCTCCGATGACCCCAGCCACAAGGAACTTGTTCTTTCGTCCACGCCGTATTTCCACTTGATGGGGCTGGTCTCGTTCTTTGAATCCATCTTTCACAACATTCCATTCGTTGCTAGCCCTGAAAGGCTACTTTCCGTGGGGTTCCTGACCGATCTGATTCGCCATACGAAGCCGACAGTGACGATTCTTCCACCTTCAATTCTTGAGGACATGAGTTATTCTGACGAGGCTCTTGCATGCCTCGGCACTTTGAAGTTTCTTTGCTATGGTGGGGCTCCTCTTTCGCCCGAAGTCGGCGCGAAGCTTGCTCGATACACCCAGTTAAGATCACCCATTGGATCCAGCGAGATGGGCATCATCTGCTCCATGGTCCCCGAAGGAGAGGACACCTGGGAATATTTCGAGTGGAATCCCTTCTATCAGATTGACATGCAGTCGATCGGGGACGGGTTATATGAGCTGGTCATACCACGGGTGGAACATTCTCTCGTGATGCATGGAATCTTTCACACGTTCCCGGAGCTGAAAGAGTATCGATCCAAAGATCTCTACACGCGGCATCCAACCAACCCCAAGCTCTGGAAGTATCATGGGCGCTTTGACGATGTGATTGTGCTCAGCAACGGCGAGAAGTTGAATCCGATCTCATTGGAGAAGATCGTGGAGGGCCACCCTTCGGTTCATCGGGCTTTGCTTATCGGCCAACGCAGATTCCAGACATGCTTGTTGATTGAGCCGGACTTTGACAAGGTTGCCACTCCCATCGATGAATATGAGTTTACCAACATGATTTGGCCAGTGGTACAGGAAGCCAACACGACTGTTCCTGATTACGGCCAGATCGTGAAAAGCATGATCCGCCTCTCATCACGCGAGAAGCCCTTCAAACTCACCGCCAAAGGTACCACACAACGACATGCCGTGAACAAAGATTATGCCGAGGAGATCGAGGAGATTTACGCGGACCAAGATAAGCAATTGGTGATGGACCTGCCACTAACGATCAACCCGGACACTGTTTGCGGGTTTTTACAGAGCGTCATCTGCAAACTTACTGGAAGGCAGAACATCAAAGCCAGTGACGATCTCTATAGTATGGGCCTGGACTCACTTCAGGCGATCCAGCTGAGCAAGATCCTCAAGAATTCGGTCTCCTCCTATAGTCCGAAATTGAACACCGACCATCTCAATGTTCAGGAAATCTATGCACACCCCACTGCAGAGGCACTCACTAATCTTCTGTTGGAGATCCTTGACAAACCATCGAGTCCAATCGCCACTGTTTCTCGTTCTGTTAAGATTGCGCAGTTGCTCGCCAAGTATACGAATGATCTCCATGTTCGGAAGCCTGATGTCCTCCCTCCACTGCCCGCGCTGTTCACTGTCATTCTGACTGGATCCACCGGATCGTTGGGCAGCTATATTCTTGACGACCTACTGCGCAACCCCCAGGTGGCCAAAGTCTACTGTTTCAACCGGAGCGAAGGTTCGCTGGCGCGTCAAATGGAAGGCTTCCAGGAAAAGGGACTACAGACTGCTTTTCTGAATGATCCCAACAAGGTCGAGTTCCTGCACGTTCAATTCGGTGAACCCCACTTCGGTCTCTCCGACCGACAGTACAACTGCCTCCTCGACACGGTTGACGTGATCATCCACAATGCATGGAAGGTCAACTTCAACCACCCCGTGTCCTCCTTCGAGGACCCGCATCTCAAAGGTGTTCAAGAGTTTGTGCGCTTCAGCCAGGAGAGCCGCTACCGGGCCCATCTCGCTTTCGTCTCCTCAGTCAGCACGATCGGGGCCTGGAAGCCCAGTGGTGGGGTCACGGCCGTGCCCGAAGTTCCGATGGAGACGGCGGACGCCACGCTGGAGCAGGGATACGGCGAGTCCAAGTATATCGGGGAGAGCATCTGCGTGGAGGCATCGAAGAAGGCGGGCGTGCCGACTAGTATCCTGCGCGTGGGACAGATCGCTGGTCCCGACACGCGATTGGGGGTATGGAATCCGCACGAGTGGATCCCCGCCTTGATCAAGACATCCAAGGCGACGGGCAAAGTGCCGTTTGATCTCGGGGGTTACCCGATCGACTGGGTCTCAGTGGTGCGCACCTGTCTCTCTCTATTTCTACTGTATCCAAGCGGTAGGGACTGTTACTGACACAATCGCACCAGGATACGCTAGCGAGAATCGTGAACGAACTCGTCCTCGGCCGCCGCGCTTCGTTCGCGGAGACCCGCCACGCGGTCTTCCATCTGGTCAATCCGTCCCGCACCACCTGGGCTTCTCTCGTCCCCGCGATTCAAGAAAGATACCCCGTTCAACCGGTGCCTCTCGTCGACTGGGTCGCCGACCTCGAGACCATCCAGGATCCATCCGATGGCGACGTGCAAGACAAACCCGCGCTGAAGCTGCTGGCCTTCTTCCGTGGCCTGGCGGATAACGCGGATGTCTTGTCGGCGGACATCAGCGTCGACCGCTCGAGGAAGGGGAGTAAAACACTGGCGTCACTCGGTCCAGTGTCACTGGCTCAGATGGCCAATTGGTTGAACCAGTGGAACTTTTAGATTGGGTGCCAGGGCGAGGTCATGGGAGTCGGCTCTGTTAATCTCCTGGCAACCGTTGCTCATGGAATGACTAGTGTAAGACACAGTAGCGCTTCGAAAGTGACTTGAGAAACGTATCGTGTGGAACCTTGCTCGGTAATCCATTGTATAGGTCGACAGATGCCTTTATGGTGCAAGCACGAGCCTCCACAAGGCCAGGTAGATCTTCAGAAGCAACAGGGCCCGAGCTTCATCGGCCAAGTTCCTTGATCGGTGATCCACCCAGCTGGGTCACTTTGCTTACTGAGTATATTCCACCTTTCCAGACAGACGACAATTTTAGGAGTACATAAGTAATTTACAAGCAGGGTAAACTCTTTCGGACCCGGCAGAAGACCACCTGAGACTCATGGAGTCACGAGTTACGAGTCTTCATTGTCTTCAGCAGCCTCAGCAGGACCTGCTCTCAGCCACGCCTCAGCCCCTCAGCCCTCTTCAGCTCCTCAATTGAGCCCGCGCCTACACAATGCGAGTCATGGCGAGGCCAGAGTGGCTATCTTCGCCAGGAACTGACCTTTCGGAAGACGCAATACAGGTCCCCACTGAGATGGGCGGTTGCTCACTGCAGGGTGGTGGAAGTAGAATCTAAGAGAAGAAATGAGAATACCGGCGAGATCGGGTGGCACGAACCCAAAACAAGGTCAAAGAACTGAGTGAGTTACTCAGTAAGTCTGACTAAATAGTTTGGGTCGATCATCAATATCATACTACGTCTGGATCCGCTTCCTACAACTTGTCTCAGGATGAGGAGATGCCGGTTGCCCTTTCTTTTCTCGCAACTTACCGTACTCGAGATTGAGTATGATGGGATGAAGTCTATAGTACCATACCAGTCGAGACGATGGCCGAGGGTGCGGGAGGCCCTAATTGACGGGTAGAAATGGCTGAGGAGCTGGCCGCGGCGGTTATCGAGTCTACCGGCTTTAGAGATGGTGAGTGCATACTACCTGTAATTAATGCACTGCTGTAATGTCAAGAAAAGAGGAACAGTGACTAGTATCAGGCCCAAAAGCTTGTCTGGTAGCACAGCAGTTCTCATGGTTGAGGACGCCGGCCCATCTACCCATGCCCTTATAAATCTTCCGCGTGTTGGGAGCATCACAATATTTACTCGTTGTACCTAAGGCACTACTTTCTCAGCTCGCCTACACTAGGACTAGACAGACAGACAGCGCCCTTATAATTCTTGCCCTCAGGAATCATAAAAGAGCCAAAAAACATACAACAGAAGGGATTCGCTGGTGGTCACCCACCCAACTACTAACCTCCCGGCGTGTGGCTTAAGTACGGCTGAGCGGACGGGAAGCCCTGTTTTCCACACCCTGTGGTCGTATGTGACGGGTACATTTGGATAAGAAAATATGACTCTGTTTCTCTTTTCTAAGTACGAAGGGAACCCATTGCTGAGTTTCGTCCACTCGTTGCATACCGAAATATAGCATGATCACATACGTCTATTGGGTGCCTTAATAGATGATGGGAGCCAGCCCTGGCAGTTTGCCTGCCTGGGAACGCCCGGCTGATATCCAGGATTGAGGGCCAGGTCCCTCTGCATGTGTGTTGTGTTGATGCTGGGTGAGTGTCGCTGTTGTAGACTGGCTAACAGCATCACGCGCTTGACCCCGTAGTGGCTTCAACCAGTACAAGAGTTCTAGCTCACCATCAAGTCAGTAGTCTCTTCCTCGTGATAATGGTATCCGAGCGCTGCGACTCAGAACCAATTGTATTTTACTGAATTGCCTGGCCTGTCAACGCCTTCTGCCTGTTTGACGCTCGCCCAGCTCCGCCGGGACCGATACAGAAGCATCCGGCATCACGCACCAGCATTGCATTGCAGTAGCATTACGTACTTACAAGTTGCATTGTGGGCTCAGTTTCTGGTTCGCCCTGCCATTCGACAGTTGCGGGTCGTTTGATCCGCAGTCTTAAGATTCTCTGCCCCGGAAACTCCACCCCCCACCTTTGGTGGAAACTTAGGCGGGGTCCCTACCTAGCCTTGGCAGGTAATTATTCCGGCCATGCCTGATCTACATTGTCGAGCACGGTTGACAGATGAGATCAAACAAAATCTCTTGCTCGGCTTCTTCAAATGCTACCAATGCAGTTCAACAACATCAATCAAGCCCATGCCCGCGCTTGCTCACCGGGGGCGCTCATGATAATCCGGCCGCATCTCTTAGGGCTAAACTCGAAACAACGGGACAGCATGTACCATACAGTACAAACCCCATATAACATTCAAGGGGATACCGCAGTTTTCAAAGGTTCTCCCTTAACTGCCCTCGTGATTAATCAAGTCAAGAAGAAAGAAAGGCCACACACAGAAGAAACTCGCTCTTGCTCAGAGAATAAATATAGAATAGAATAGGGACCAAGAAGAGAAAAAAAGGAAACCCGCCCCAACGAAAAAGTTCAAACTCCAGTATCCCGGAAATCGATAAACTAAGCAGCCCTCATGCCACCTCGCACTCGATCAAGCTCTCCGACCACCGATCCGCCGCCCAGATGCGCAGGATGCGGAACCCGGCCTCGTGCAGGAGACGCGTCCACTGCGATTCGGTGCGCTCCGCGCCCGCAAAGTCCGCCAGCATGACGAAGTCCAGCCCCGTCGCCTGCCACTGCGCGCCGCGGTCCGGGATCACGTTCTCGTTGATCAGCAGCCGGCTGTACCCGGGCGTCATGGCGGCGCGCAGCGGGGCCAGGATCTTCTGGCAGATCGCGTCGGGCCAGTCGTGCAGCACCGAGTGGAGGAAGTAGGCTCTTGCACCTATTTTAATGATTGGGCGTTAGCCTCTGCTTTTCGTTGGGCTTTTTGCCCCCTTGGATTGCAGTAAAAGAACAAGGGAAGGAGCAAAAGAGGAGGTACCTTTACAAGGCTGCTCGGTGAAGAAATCATGCGGCATGCACTCGATCGACTCGTGCAGCTGGCTTCCCACCACCTCGGCCAGGACGGCGGGCTGGTCCTGCAGGATCAATCGCCCAGGGGAGCTGGGCCACTTGGCGCGGAACTCGGCCAGGTCGTGGCCCTTGCCGCCGCCTACGTCTACCAGCAGGATACTGTCGGCGGGGTCTGTCGTCGTCGTGTCGACCAGGAGGCGCTGCTCGACCGGGTAGAAGCCCGGGTCCATCCAGCTGGCGCGGCCTTGATGGTAGATGGACATGAGATTGTTGAATTGGGCGCTGAGCACCGGGTGTTGGCCCACGAATTCGAAGAAGGCGGCTTGGGTGTTGTAGCCGAGTTGGAAGGGGCAGTCGAGGCCGTTGGCCGGGTCGCGATAGCTTGTTTTACGGAGAAACTCCGGGATCGCGGTGATGGCGCGCCCGGTAGCCCGGGTTCTATAGGCTTAGGTTTAGTTGAATGCCGTCTTTGGAGACCCCAGGTAATGGGAGGGAGGATACTGGGGGAAAGCATACATCATGGGGAAGGCATCGGCGTAGCGGGTGTAGGCGAGCGTACGTGAGAAGTTGTTGCTAGTGTATTCATCTTTACCAGTTTCGGTGACAGCGTGAATGGCATTGAGTTGCTTCATGATTCGTTCTAGGAGAGGTTGCGACAAGGATTAGTGGTGCGGAAGAGGCAAATTGGGGAGTAGGCGCCCACGTAGCAGGACGATGTCAGCGCCGGTGGCTGTCGCCAGTTCGGCCACGGACATCGGCCGGTCATTGTTCGACAGATATGGGAAGATTCCGAGGTCGATGGCTGTCTCGATCACGGCGAAGCCGGTAGTCTAGTGGACTACCCCGTCAGCTCTGTCTAGGGGAGACAGGTACGGGCGGTGGGAGGGCGGCGAACTCACGTTTCGCCAGCAGTATCGGAAAATGGTCTCGCGCGGCGTCTCAACGGCCGCTAGAAGGGCATCGGCGGCTTCCATCAGCTGGAGTCGCGCGTCGGCCTGGCCAGACGTGAAGGCATTGCTCAGCAACTCGATCTTCTGGGCCAGACTGGCAAGCTTTTCAGGGGCCATGGGGCTGACAGCGATGCGATCGACATCGACACCATTGGTCACCGTGGCCGGCGCAGGAAGTCCGTTGGATTCGACCATGGCGAAAGCAGGAAGGAAGTAAGTGCGGAGACTGACTACAGTACCTAGGTAGGGAGGAATCACAAGGAAGGATGGAGGGAGGCGGCATTTCAATCTCCCTTCCCACCGCGGGGAGATATATAACAGTCTCCGAGGGGCTCCCGTGTCTTGCTCTAATTCTTACTCAAGGTGGAAGACCAGAGACTCCTGGTCTAGCCGGCTTGAGTCTATATTGACAGATGAACTAGTAGACCGTGACAGTGCAGGCTCTAAAGCCCGATTGGATGTAGGGCAGATATTGTCTCATATGCGCTCCACTCGGGCCCACTGCCGGAGAATCCGGATTCCGGAATGATGATCCCGGATGGCATCCAGCCTAAGATTGGCTGACCTTTGGCAGCATGGCCGCTGCCTTCGGGTCGGAAGGGCCGCGGCACGTTCCACAATTTCGACCCGTAGCCCATAGTTCCTTATTTTTCAGAGCGCAAATCGCACTGCATGTTACAGTACAGTACACCCACGAGCACCTGTCAGGGGCACTTACTGCAGGGGAAAGCAAAGCCTGGAAACTGAAAGCCAGCAAGCAATTAAGCTAAAATCATCCCTTCTTCCTTAGCGTCCATTGCATTAAATGGCGCTGGTTGCGTGTTTTCCCCTCCGAATTAGTTCCGAGGCCAGCCACACGGATCGTTTCGTGCTTATTGTCTGAAAATATCAGGCGACGCGCCCATTTAATTAAGACCCATGTACTGCGGAGGAAGCAATCTCGGAGGCACTGCCTATAATTGATGCCACTATGGCACCCAACCGGGCTATGGAGCTACATGCCGGTAATTTGATAAAAAAAAAAAAAAAAGACTGCCTGCTGTCGCGCTTCTCCCTCCTGTTTCTTTCCTCTTTCTACCTTCTTCTGGATTTCCCATCGCGGCCACCTTGAGCAGTCTCGCCTCCACAGTATGGCGGGAATCACGGCATATGACCAGCAGAACAAGGGTCCAGTTCTGCTGGCCGTGATGTGGACACTGACTGGCCTCGCGACCGTGCTAGTATGGGCCCGATTGTTCATTCGCACCCAGATTGTGCGTGCGTTTGGGCTGGATGATCGGCTCATTGCGGTTTCGATGGTGAGTTCCTTTTAGACTGCCGTGTGCGGATGTCGGGACGGTTTCTGATTCTGTTCCAACTTCAGATCCTAGGGTTAGTCAACGTGATTATTGCTACGGTCGCCGTCCACCACGGCTTCGGCAGACATTCCTCTACGATTGGCCACGCCGCGACTGAGCGTGCAGATATGATTATCGATATTGGCTGGATATTCGGTATCCTCTCCTTCGCCTTCCCCAAGATGGGGGTAGCCGCCCTGCTCCACCGCATCTTGGTCCCAGGCTTCCGCATGCAATGTGCGCTATGGGGCCTGACTGGGCTAGTGATGGCCGTTGCTGTTGTTAACATTATCCTCTTCTTTACCTCCTGCGATCCGCCGCGTGCTCTGTGGACGACGGTCCCAGGAGCGACGTGTCGCAGTTCCGGTGTGATTATCCGGTTTGCGACGTTCAACGGAGGTGTGTCTCTCTCCTCATCGAGTTACAGGGCCTCTGTTCACTAACACAGACAACCTCCCCGCTGGCTGATAGCGCTTTCCGCCTTCACCGATCTCAGCCTCGCAATCTATCCTAGCGTGGTTCTCTGGAAACTGCAAATGTCGCTCCATAAGAAGCTGGCGTTGTGTGCCGCGCTGGGGATGGGTGCTATGTAGGCTCTGCTCCCTACCCTCTTCAACCTTCTCTCTGTCCCTACTGCTGCTGACCTCAGATTTCGCAGATCCGCCTGCGCGGCCATCATCAAAACCACCCACATCAACGCCCTCGCCAACGTCTCCGACGCAACCTGTAACTCAGCCCCCCTGACTCGCAAGAGAAATGCTAACCAAAGGCCCCCAGACGCAAGTTGGTCCCTCGTCCTCTGGACAAAGTTCGTCTCTTTCCAGCCCCTAATCCTCAGACGATTACTAAGCCCACCAACGCCCAAAGTGTCGAAGCTGATCTCGTCATCATCGCCTCCTGCATCCCCACCCTCCAACCCCTCCTAGAGTTCCTGCTGGGCAAGCGCTCCCTCGCCTCCTACAGCCACCCGCGCTCCTACCCGAAGGCCACCGGCTACGGAGCTGGTGGCTCGAAGCCCTCCAACAAGCGCTCCCGCCGGTCGACAATGCTCGACCCGACCGCCATCACGATGACCTCGATGCGCCGCGACAGCCAGGAGGAGATTCTGCCGAGCGCGGGCCCGGCACAGAAGCCCGGGTGGGAGATCCACCGGACGGATCACATTGTGATCGAATATGATATGGAGACTACCAGTGAGAGGATGGCCGAAAGTGCGGGAGGAGGGCCGGCGGCGGCCGGGCGGTAACCCTAGAAATGATTGACGGGCTGGCATGGTGGTGGCCCTCAAGTCCACGAAATAGTTATAGTCGAAGGCTGAACTGTAAGTTGATGTAACGCTTTTCGCGGAATCGATTCAACCAAAAGCCCCATTCTAGCAGTAGAGGTGGTGCGTAATACCTAGATGGTTGAGGCGGAGGCTGACGCATGCACACTATAACTCACGCGTGCTAGGAGCATCGGATTTTCTACCCAATGCACTACCTTTCCAGGCCACAACACGAGGACTAACTAATACAGACAAAGCAACTGGGCTATCCCCAACATTCTCAGACATGATCCTTTTGTATCTACGAGGGGAAAAAGAAAGACAAAAACATACAACAGAAGGGATTCGCTGGTGGTCACCCACCCAACTACTAACCTCCCGGCGTGTGGCTTGAGTACGGCTGAGCGGACGGGAAGCCCTATTTTCCACACCCTGTGGTCGTATGTGCTTAAATATGCGTTGCTTTAGTTCAAGTAGTAGATCCCCTAGCTTTGATCGGTGTCTTATATCCTCAGGCAAGAACTGCGGACTCATTTCTGTGATTTGATAACATGACTGGCTGCCAGATAATTGAGGCTTCCCATGCTTCAGCACGGTACAAAATGGCGCAAAGATGAAAACATTAGAGCAGAGATTGAACTTTACGCTAAGCAATTCACCCCGCCGTATCACCCTCCCCAGCAGTTTCTAATCAGTCCAGCTTTTCAATTGCAAAATCCTCCACCTTCAACCCATACTTGACCACCCGGCAGACCTGGTAGACGGCCAACCCGATATACATCAGATAGTTCTCGAGCTCGTCGTTCCACTGCGCGACGGCTTTGCCCCAGGTGCCCGCAAACCCGGCGATAGTCTCGATGAAGCCGTTCACGATCAACACCTCGTTCTTTTCCGCCGCGGTGGCGTCCGTGATGTCGCCCGTGAGCCCGAGGCAGAGCGACGGCACCGACAGCACGGCGCTGACCGTCCCCTTCCACCGCTTGACCACCGGTCGTTCCAGCTTCATCTTCTTGCCCACCAGTTTGACTACGGTGCCGGAGGTGAACTTGGCGCCTTTGAGGACCCAGCCCTGGACATTGGATGTTAGTTCTAGGTGGTTGTGTAAGTGGGGGTGGGGAGTAATAAGAAACTCGGGAATGAGGTTGAGTAGCACGAGGCCTAGCACTTACTGCATATTTGAGGGCGTGTTTGGTGTCTAGTGAGGTGGTGGTCAGTCCAGAAGAGTAGGAGGCGGCGGATGCTTCGCCACCCCCCCGGGCCAGGTTGTGAATCCGTTCACAGCTGCAAAGGTCAGGGACGCCGAATCAAAGACATTCATGATGCTATCCACCGGTCCGAAGGGGATGGATTCGAGCCCGAGTCCTTCGAAGGCACCATCGAGCCCCAGCGAAAGCATGTCGAACTCTGTCTCAATGAGGAGCACACCCGACTCCGCGGCGACACTGAACCCTCGGATATCCGCCGCGAGCGAAGCGTCGCCCTGGCCCTGCACGTACTGGCTGAAAGTGCTCTTCGTCAACTGTCCAGATAATTTAGGGGGCGCCCGCTTCTTCTTCGCCTTGTACAGCACCGTGGTCGGGATCGCGATCAACAGTGCGCAGAAGTTCAGCAGCGTCAGGGGCCGGCCCCGGGCGATCACGTTCTTCCAGAGCCACGTTATCACGGGGATATTTATCTCCTTGGTCGCTAGGTCCTGCACGAGGTCGATGCCCAGTTTCAGGGCATCGAACAGGATATCGGCCAGCTTCTCCACCGCGTCGATAATCCCGTTGACCAGGTCCACGCCCACCTTGGCCATGACCTCTCGCACGCGGAAGTTGGCCGGGTTGAAGAATTCAACCAGGTCCTTGGCCACATTCGTCACCGTCTTCATGATGATTTGCACTTCGTCCTGAACGTCCTGCCACAACTTCACCAGTTAGTCCTCGGTCGTGCCCCCTGTCGCGAATGTAGTGGTGGTATCATCGTCGTGTAGCACCGCATTCGTCGTCCCGCCGCCGTAGGTGAAGTAGTACGCCGACCAGTTATAGGGCACTGCCGCATTGACTTCATCCTCGTCGGTGCCCTGGTCTGCATTGTCGTCTGCATTGTCGTCTGCAATGCCGTCTGCATCACCGGCCATGCTGGATGCGACCGTGGTCTTCTTCTTGTTGCTATTGCTGCCTCCCAGCCGCGCTCCGTTGTAATCGTTTGACTGCAGAGAGGTGAGATTTTGCAGAATGGTTGAGCGGACGTTCTCCAACCACTTGTGCGCGTCGGGGTCCGCCGTGTCCAGCGCCTCCTTGCCGTATTTCAGGGCCGCGTTGAACCCGGCGGCGATACTGTCGGTTGTGTCAAGGATATCGCCCCATTCGAACAAGAAACTGATAAACTCGATGATATCCTTGATGACGGCGCCGATCTTCTTGAACACCCAGATGACGCCCTTCACGATCGAGGTGATGGTGTTGAGGGCAATCTCGAAGATCTCCTCGCCGATCTTGACGATAAACTTCCACACGCCGTCAACCACATCGCAAGTCCAGTGCCAGACATCCTCCGCAACTGAGGTGAGCCAATGCCACGCCCCAGCAAAGGCGTCCCCTATATCAGACCAGAACCCATAAGAGACGGGGCTTGTGCTATTTGGAGAAGCAATCGCTGCGTGGTAGGTCTGCAGCTTTTGTTTCTCCTGCGCATGGAGATCATTTGCACTGGCGACGAGCTGTTGGAAGATCTTGGCAACACCGTCCGAATCGTCGGGGGTTTTCTCGAACAATGGCGTCCCATCCGCTTTCTTCAGGTTCTTGACTTGGTCGCCGGTTTTGATGTCCTGGATCTTGGGGAGGATCTTATGGGATGGATCCAGGATCGGATCCGTTAGGGCTCGTTCGGCCGCTGCCGCCGACGACAACGACACCGACGACTGCGATGGTTTCTGCGCGGGGCGGTACGCTTCGGCGGCGAACTGATGGATCGTGGCGTCGTCAGTCTGCACAAGGATATTCAAGTCACCTTTGGCATCAGTCTGGTACCACTCTGCTGTGGGCGAGAGAGTCGTGTGGCGACCGTTGACGATACACCGAACAACACCGGAACAGCTCACACGCAGCCAGCACCCGGGGAGGAGGTCGGCCGCGTCCCCGTCACTATCGTTGGTGACCGTCGTGTGTAGACGGACCAGCAATCCTTTTACTTCAGTGATTGTCTCTTCGGAAGCGTGCCAGAACGGGTACTGCTGCCACACCTGGGAGGCAGGGTCCTGCTGCAGGAGGGACAGGTTTCCGGTCTCGTCCACGGACAGCAGACTGCTGACTAGAAGCTTGCTATCCCCGTCGGCGGGTCGGCTGGACAGAAGGCTGGAGATCCGGCCGCCTTGTCCTTTCGCGAGGAGAGGAATCACGGTGCCCTCGGAGAGAGCCGTAGTCTTGGTGGTGTAGTATTACACCGCGTCGGTCGCGGTGGTATACCAGAGCGCTTCCCCGACACGGGATCCACATCATCAGTCCGATGCGAGAGAATGATGAGGAGGATAAATTTTACACCACACTGGAAGTGTGGCCGCTGGACGGGAACTTCCTGGCATTGGCGTCGGAGGTTCGCTACGAAGGAGAGGGTTAGTAGCAATCCTTCTTTTTGTTTCTTTTTGTCTCTTTTTGTTCAGAATCTCACTACCAGATGATGTCAATGCAGCTTTTATCTACCGCCACTACCCGGCGATCCAGCCCCCGCCGACCGATCGAGACCTTCGCTGGCGGAACTACCAGGCGGCGATCGCGCGCTTCGCCGCTCGGAATCTGATTAACTGCACGCATCTCTGGGCACTGGAAGGGATTTTACCGGACGATGGCTGGTACCCGGACTCGGACGACCCCGCGCGTCGAGACTCGGGGTACAGATGGCTCGCCGGCTGAGTGATCGCTGGGGCTCAGTGGCTGTTGCGACCCGAAGTGAGGGCCCATGTGTATCAGCAGTGCTTGAATCGGGAGAAAGTCGGGAGGCGGGAGGACATGTGGAGCAGGGAACTATGGCAGCAGTGGAAGGATCAATTTGCACGCATCGCCATCGAGGATAGGCTTGGGCCGCAAGCACGGGAGCTCGCGGGGTTGGCTCGTCAAAGGATGATTGCTCACGAAAAGGAGGAGGTTGCTAGGTCTTCCGTGACAGGCATTCTGTAATTTTTGCTCTTGAGTTCCATACTCGGGAATATTATACTTGAAGTTTGCAACAGCACCCGCGCCATCAATTCATGTGGTTATCTTGAATCAACAGTCTAGGAAATAATTTCATGGTGCTTGGATAACAGGTGATCAAAAAGCAAGACCTATGGTCTTAGAATACTGCATGACAATCTGAAATTCCATTGGCGTCTTCCTTGGGCACCAACAAGCCCGTAGTTCAAAGGCTCGAAATTTCAGCCAGCATTGCGGTGCGGTATCCATGAATTCTACCAAAGTCCCAACTTGCATGCTGTCTGATATTTCTGGAGCAGTTTATCCCGTGATCTTTGCCGATTAGCGACTGGAAACAGTAAGACAAACGTGGGAATACCTTGATCATGGTGGCCAGGAATTTCAAGGAGCTGTCGACAGCCATCTGCCCTCTGCCCAACAAGTCTACCATATATATATGGATCCCGTGTAAGACAGCAACAGGACCGAATGGCTTGATTTCACAATGAATGAATGCAATGGGAGCTGCGACGCTTTTCCAGTGAAAAGAGCAACTCTTACCTCCATCTCAACGACCTCCTCCTTGTGCTTCTCATGCGCGGATGGATCATCGTATCTATCTACAAGTGCCCTCATCAAGATCTTGGTCATCCCTCGTTTGGTGGTAAACGCATCTCACTTCTTGTTGGCATTTGTGATGAAAGAAGCAATGTAACCACCAGAAGTATACTTGAATCAAACAGATCCTTGCGAAAGACTTTATCGTAGACCTAATGATTCGTGGCTTCCATACATTCTAAGATTCTCATTGAAAATCACCCAGGGTGAGGCTGGCGCAGGAGTAACATATGTGGTCGGCCTTAATCACATCCTCACATTGTACGGTATATATAGCCCAACAAGCCCACCACGAATGATCTCATCACTAAGCAGTGGACGTACATACAAGACTCATTGGATATTAGTCTATCAACTCTTTCAGAGTCCACTCCACCCACCAGCCACCTTCATCTTCTTATACCACTCCTGCACATATGGAATCCGCACGTGCGGTCCGTACAGATCAACATCCCACTGCGGACTCGGCGGCGCAAGGCCTGTTCCTTTCAGACACGACTCACGCAGTTCTTCGATGCTACCCCCACGGTCGTATCCTTCTTTCACGCCTCCGGCTGCCTCGCGGGCTTCGGCGAGTTTCTTCCGGAGAGTCTCTGTCTCGCTTTCATCAAGGGCAAGAGTTGCAACATCAACGACGACACCATTATTCTCCCGCGCACCCTTAACCGTCACAAGTTTCCTCCGTACCTCCAACGCAACCTTTTGCGCCGGCCGCGTAAGCGGGTCTCCCAATCCACCACCACCCCAAGTAATCCACTCAAGCAGATCCCCCGGATCAACTCTCACATGATCGCATTTCGAGGGCAGAACCTCAACGGGCGGAGCCGTCTCGGACTTCGAAAACCGATACAGCACCTTCCTGCTCCTCGAGCCCGGTTTCCCGCCGCGAATCCCCCACGGCTTCGTGAACCACCGGTCATCATGGAGACTGATCTCCCCGCGCGAGAGGAACCGGTAGTGCGTGCGCTGCGCATTCCCACCGCGGGAGAACCCCGGGCCACCGCTATCGGGGACAGTCTCGTTCGCTTCAATGCGGAGCGGGTAGTTCAGCTCGATAATCTCTGTGGGGATGGATTTGATCGCGGGGAAGAGACAGTGGCAGTCTAGTCCATCCCCGGCCTGACGCGCGGGGACGCCGCCGAATCCAATCTGGTACAATTGATACCACTCTCCATCCGGCTTATACCCGGAGTAGAAGAAGTGGGGCGAGTCGCTGAATCCCGCGGCAGCGGCATACGCGGGGTTCTTCTTGGCGATGAGCGCTTGCATGACGTCCATGGTGCGGCCGAGCATATGTGTGCGGCACGAGATCGGTGCGGGCCGGACGGGCTTCAAGACACTTCCCTCGGGGATATACACGTCGATCAGGTCGTGGAAGCCGTCGTTTATGACCGTCCCTGGGGCCGCTGCCGCGATCATGTAGTACCCGATGAACATCTTGAACATGGTCTCGGACAGGTAGAAGTTTATGCTGTGGGAGCTCTGCGGGGATGTACCGGACCAGTCGAAGAGGAGGCGACCGCCGTCGAGTTTGGTCGTTGTGCATGTGAGAGCGTAGGGACCGATGCCGTGGCCGTCGTCATCGGCGAAGTCGGTGAATGTTGTTGGTTGCGGGTCGAAGTCCGCTTCGATTATTTTCGCCAAGGCTGTGCGGTTACGCAGGAGGAGCTCATTGCAGGCTGCGAGATAGATCTCCGTTCCGAAGCGCGTGACCAGTTCGCAGACGCGACTTGCGGCCGTCCGGCATGCCGTGATGATGGCCATCAGGTCGGACCGGTACCAGTCTGGCTGCCGGGAGTTGCGGCAGAGTAGGTCGACAATGTCCGTGTTCATAATTCCCTTGGAGTACAGCTTGATGCAAGGGATTTGCACGCCGTCATCAAAGATTGATGTCGCGTTGATCGACATACTCCCCGGGACGATTCCACCGACGTCAGTCAAGTGTCCGAACTGCGACGCCCACCCGAGGTGTCTGCCCTCGTGGAAGATGGGAAGAAGAACAATGACGTCGTTAAGATGCGTCACGGCGCCTTCGATCATGTATGTGTCGTTCGTGATGAACATATCCCCTTCTTCGATTGCCCCCTTTCACGCGCGCAAAAACTGCGTGATGAAACTGCCGAATTGTCCGACTAGCATCTTGCCCTCTGCCGTGGTAATCACGTTGAATTCATCCTGCTGCTCGCGAATTGCGGAAGACATGCTGCAGCGAAGCATGAGTGTGTCCATTTCACCGGGGATCGAAGCCAGAGCGGAGGCGACGAGGGTTGGGATTAATGGGGTGGACTGTACAGTTTGCAGCGCCGCTTCGGCGGTCTGGTACTTGTTGTCATCTCGCGTCGTTTCGTCGACGGGGCGGATGAGGATGTTTCCGATCGAGTCGATCTCGCCGTAGTAGCCCGGGAGGATCAGCGTGTTGCTGTCTGTTTCGGTGATGATGCAGGGCCCGTCGAGGCGGACGCCCTGTTGGCTCACCTTTTCGCGGTCCCAGAGCGCAGCCTCGATCTCCTGGCCTTGTACGACGATCTTCTTCTTCGAGACCAGGGCAGCAGCTGGTGGTTTATCTGATGCAGCTCTACTGAGCTGGGGAAAGTCAATGGGCGGCCGCGCATCAACAGCAACAACCTCGAGACGCATAAGCTCGAGCTCAAAGTTCGGAAGATAGTACTTGAACTGCTGGTCGTGTAGCTGGTCGAACTTATTCTGAATAGCCTTTCTCCACTCATCATTGCCCAGCGACAGTTCCTCTCTCTCCAGATCAACGGTCAGATTCAGCGCCTGCCCGCGGTAGCGCAGGTCGATGTGGTAGGTGATGTCGAGTTGGATCTCCTGGCTCGCATTTGACGAGTGCATAGTTTCCCTGCAGCTCTCCTCAAGCTCCTCGAAGCGCCGCTTTACCTCCTGCGAGGCCGTTACGGACAGCTGGCTGATAAATGAAGAAGACTGCGAGTGACTCAACCGTGTAGTCGCATCGCCCAACGCACAGAGCGTCCCCGGAGAAGGAGGGATAATGACCGGCCACGCTCCAAGGAGCTTGCCAACAGCATTCGCATGTAGCGGACCGGCACCTCCAAACGCAACGAGCGCAAAATCCTTCGGATCATACCCCTGCTCGACCGAGACGAGGCGCAACGCACCGTACATGGTCTCATTCACCAAAATCAATCACGTCCTCGGCCGTCTGCGTTACAGGGAGACTCATCTGCTTCGCGATCGCCTCGACAGCATCCCACGCTGCTTGTGCACTGAGCGTGAATTCGCCACCGAGCAATGTATCCGGTAGGTATCCGAGCACAAGATTCGCATCTGTTACGGTCGCTTCGGCCCCGCCCTTGTTGTACGCCGCTGGTCCCGGCGTCGCACCTGCGCTCTCTGGGCCGACACGCAGTGTTTTGGAGATGGCCATGTATTTTGCAATGGAGCCGCCGCCCGCTCCGACGGTTTCGGATGTCCACGGCTGGCGAGCGCAAGGTCAGTTCGCCGACGACAGTTTCCCGGCGGAGCTGCGGTTTTCCCTGGTAGATTAGCGCGACGTCTGTTGATGTCCCGCCCATGTCGAATGTGATCAGGTTCTGATACGGTGTGTTCCTTGTCACGACGTCTGCGACGCCCTGTACACCTCCTGCCGGACCGGACATGAGGATGTTGACGGGTAATAATCCCGCAAGCTCGAGACTCGTAAGTCTACCGTCGGATTTTAGAATGCGAATGACGTCTCCGTCGTCCGCGAGGAGGGTCTGGAGGTTACTAAGATATGTCTGAACCACAGGCTTGACAAGCGCGTTCGTGCAGGTCGTCACGGTCCGCTCGTACTCGCCGACTTCGCGGAGGACGTCGCTGGAGCGGATGATCGTAACCTTATCACCCAGAACCTCGTGGACAAGATCAGAGATGGTAGTCTCGTGCTCGCTATTCGCGTGCGAATTCAGTAACGAGATCGCGACCGCCTCAGGCCGCTCGCTCTCCCCCCCCCCCCCCTCCAGCCCCCCAAAGCTTCACCACCTCCGCGCGCAGCGCATCCACATCAACAGGGACCACTATCTTCCCATCCACAGACATGCGCTCGACACACTGAATAACTCTTTCAAGAGGCACAATTGGGTCCGGAGGCGTATAATGCAACCACGCCCCGAGCCCACCGGGGATCTGCGACCGGCGGACGGCAAGGATATCCTTGTGCCCCGCTGTAACGATCAGCCCTGTTCGCGCGCCTTTACCCTCGAGGACAGCATTCGTCGCGACGGTGGTGCCGTGGTGGATGAACTGGAGTTTGCCGCTGAAGTCGGTGTTCGTCGCGGGCTGGGATTTGAGGGTTTCTTGGACTCGGTTGATGCCGTTTTCGATTCCAATGCTTTGGTCTTCAATTGTGGTGGGGACCTTTGCGCGTGCAATGAATCCGCTGGGGGAGAGGGCGTAGACGTCGGTGAATGTGCCACCGACGTCTGCGCCCAGACGGTAGGTGGCTTTGTCCGTGTTGTGTGGCATCGTGTGTTAGATGTTAGGGTAAGGAAATAGATCAGACTTTCCGCGACAACGCAAAGGAAACGCAAGGGAGGGAGAGGGGAAAAAGGAAGAGAATGCGTGCGGGGGTAACAAGCAGATGGGAGGACAGCTAGATGCTCAGAAGCGAAGAGGGGGAAGATAGGAAGATACATAGCTCCTCTGGGCAATGGGAACGGCGATCCATGATGTGACGGGAGGGTGATCAACCCACCTTCTGTCCAGTCGCCCGTGGATGGTGGGTCGTGGTGGGTGAGTTGGCGATAAGACTAAGACGGGGGACGCTGGGCGCTCACTCACTCGGGAGCCGAGGCGGATCTTGTGCATCCATGGACAGCTTCAATTCAGACGGCCACATCGCTCCTCCTCATCGAACCAGATCTGGGCCTCGTGTGTGTCGAATGACAGGGCAGGCAACTGCGCTAGGCAATCTCGAATACGATTGCCAATAGCTTTTCGGTGCTTCACAATCGACAGGGATGGTGCAGATTCTGCCTGCACACTGGCAGGTTGGATGAACTTGCCTGTCTCGTCCCATTCCGGGTCGGATCGGTGCGAAGTGAATCGATAATTGCGATTCCATTTCCCCCGGCCGTTGCTTTCGCTCCCCATACCCGAAAGGAGAGGGCCGTAGCGGCGGATCGCAGATGCCATCCGGCCGGACATGGTTCGACAGCGACGGGCAGGGTTAAGGTGCTTTTATCAGGAGGAGGACGAGGATCAGGGCCTGGATCTCGTATCCAAGGAATGAAGGTTTGCTTTTATGCTTTGATGTATATCTGATCGATCCCTCGATCAAAGACTTTAACTGGATCCTTGACCATTTTTCACCCCTACCAGCTCAGGTACACAGCCTCGGAATCCGCTGGGCGAGTGCCCATGTTTACGAGCGATCGTGCCCATTGTCCGTCCCTCGTCGCTGTATGACTCTTTGACAGTAGCACGGAAGCTGTAACCACATCTTACAGCATGGATCTCTCAGAACCAGCGATCCCGGCTCCCCCGGGCGAGGTATCTGATCTCAAGAATCCAGAGGATGTCCTCCACACAGTCAATTTTGTGACGCAAGTCATTTGCCTCCTCGTCGTGACGATCGTCGTGGCGCTGCGGTTCCTCGTCAAGGCAAGGCTGAGGAAGGCGTTAGAGTTGGGAGGATTGCGAGTTTGATCTTACATTGTTTTGATGGCATGCTGTTTATACTGAGAACCTTTCCTACAAGGGAGCACGATTCTTGGATGGGTAAGCTCTTGCCTTCGGATCAGTCGATCAGTTGATGCGATCTAATGCTTGCGATCGGTTCTATTCGTCGGGTTTTGTGCGAATATGATTATACGTATGTACTCCATTATTCTCTAGATGCGACAAAAGTGTCTAATAATCACAGTGGGAAACTACGGCGGTGGCTACCACGCATGGGACGTGTCAAAGGGCGACATGGTTAATTTCCAAAAGGTATCATCAACCATCCTCAACCAGCAAAGCGAGAGCTCAACCAATTCCATCAAGTCCACCACTAAACACCACCCCCTCATTCGCAGGCCTCCTATGCCGTAACCCTCGTCTACGTCCCCATGGTCTTCGTGATAAAAGTTGCCCTCCTCGCCGTCATGCTCCGCCTCTTCGCCCCAGACAAACACAAGGTGATGCTCGTCTACGGCACAATCATCGTCCTCCTGTACTACATCCCCGCCCTCTTCATCAAGATCTTCTTCTGCAATCCCATCTCCGCATACTGGTACGGCCTCGAAGCAACGAATGGGACCTGCATGGACCAGCGGAAGGTCATCATCGCCGGCGCGACGATAAGCATGATTAGCGATTTTTGGATCCTCGTCCTGCCCATTTCGATGCTCTGGTCGCTTAAGATGAGTTTCAGCAAGAAGCTGCGTGTCCTGGGAATTTTGGGCGCTGGAGGGTTAGCCACGGGGTTTAGTATCTGGAGGCTTGTTATGATGGTTGATGAGTCCCGGACGTCGGATACAACCTGGTTTTGGATTCATTGTGTGCTTACGGGGTACGTCACTGTCACCTCGATCCTTCAAATCCACCCAGGAAGAACTCTTCGCCGGCTGCATGGGAACGAGATCACCGCGCTAACCTTTTTACCTTTTGTGCTACAGAAACGCCGAATCAGGCACCGGTTTAACTTTTTCTATGATTGGTTTTGTTGATGTTTTGTTTGCGGCGCGCCTGTACCAGAACTATATCCTTTGCAGTGCTAGTGAGAAAAGCACGAACGCCACCCACAAGGTCAATAGGGCCTCATATGGTCGGCCCCCTGTAGGCACCCGGAGGTCGCCGAGCATTCCATTTGAATGGGTACTACCGAGGAGAGACAACTGCTTGACTGGACTTGGATAATTGAGGAGGGGCGGTTGTAGGTGCGGTTCTCCAGCTCAGGCCCCCTGGTGAACATACCAGGTCTTGAGAATCAGACCTCTTTCTTCCTCTTTTGTTCATGATAACATTCAATTCGGTGGAAAGTATCAGAGGGTGAAATGGGATGTGAACAAAGGCTTGGTTTTTGACTATAAGAAAAGAATAGTAACCAAAAACATACAACAGAAGGGATTCGCTGGTGGTCACCCACCCAACTACTAACCTCCCGGCGTGTGGCTTAAGTACGGCTGAGCGGACGGGAAGCCCTGTTTTCCACACCCTATGGTCGTATGTGCTTGAATAACAAGGATACTATCTTATAATAGTGTTTCAACTCACAGATATTCGATACGTTCTTCCTGGCAGGTCCTGATCCATCCCACCCTAACACTCTCGGCCGTAATGCTACTAGAGGTTACAGAGACCTTTCACCCATCGATCAAATTAGTTATCTTCAAGTTAGTGACATTCACTAAACACAATCTTTTCCAAAATATAGACTATATAAGCTTTGTCTTTTTATGGAAGGCTGTTGTGGGTGGGCGCGGTGCCGGTTCGCTTTCTGATTACGTTAAGTTATGCTACAGGCGAACGACTCAGCGGGTCCCACCCTTTGTGGAACTACACAAAGTCGCCCGGCACTTCCGATTTGCTGTATAACATGTATAACAATCAGACATCGAGGGACGGTCCGAAACAGATTGAGCCGGGAGCTTCATGCTCCGTGAATTAAGTTATGCCTAGCCCCCGCAATAGAGCGCTCTTGCCAACTCCGCGACTAGTCGAATTCCGTTATTCTGGTGCTAACCTTGAAACTTCTCTGGTTTTCTAGAAACCGGATCGCTCTTGCTGCGAGTTGCCGCACGCCGGCACATTGCTTGCTTTGAAGAGCAGGCAGTTAGGGTTGAGCAGAAACCAAGCGCGAGCCTCAGGCAGCAGGCCTAGATATTGTGTGCGCATTGGAGCATGGGCGCTAAGTTCTCATATACTGGCCTTCTTTGGATTTCCTCGGTAGTGAACAGGCACTTTCATATCCGCTTTCTTTTTTAGTGAACTATCTTTCTTCTTCCAATGTCTCCTCCGGTTTGGTGCCGGCGCAGTTCAAGGAGAAAAAATAAATACCTCGAAAGATGCAGGGCAGGTAGTTCTTTTATTTCTAACCCTAACAACCAAATCAATATGGCGAAATGTAATATCACTTACTAGTCAAGTATGACGCGGACCTTACATTATGATATGCTACTGAACCATACCGGGTATTCTAGTTATAACGGTAGGAGGATCGCTAGAGCTCTGGAATTGAGTTTCTGAGAGAGAGGAGAAAGATACATTAAAATGAATATGCTCTAGTCCGTGGCGTAGGAACGTTTTTCTCTGAAATTCTGCGAAAAGTACTGGGCATTGATTGAATACATTTGAACGGATTGTTAACCCTAAATTTAACAGAATAGAGGATTCCAGGTATTATGTCAAGACATATGGAGGTAAAAAGTAATCTAAAAACAAAATCAAGACAAGCTGTGCCTCGTGGTTCGATGAACAAATTACAGAAGGTACGCAACCGGAACCATTACGGACCGTCTATACTCAGAATCACGCGGCGAGATGCGGGCTAATGGTGTAACTCCTCGTATCGGGAACGACCCGGTCCTGACATGTTATCGGCCCGTGCGTGTCCGGGTCCATTCCGGACAGCATTCACTAAGTACTGTGCGTTGAAAAATGTTTCCATCTAGTGAATCTCAGAAACTAGTTACCTCTATACAAGACCTGATGAATAAAATGGAATGTTGATCAATTCTTTCTTCAACAAAGAGCCATTTTGTTCAGAAAGCTTCTCAAGATGTTGTCCATGATACTCTCGTGGGCGGATGCACATTCCCGAGTCAAAGTTCTAGGCACGATTGTTGTGTGTCTCGCAGTCTCATTTTACATCCTCCAAGAGGTACTCAAGCCAGTCGGCAAGCGTCGAGGGCCCGGCGGGAAGCAATATAACCTGCCTCCGGGTCCGAAAGGATACCCGATTCTCGGCAGCTTGCCTTTCCTGAAGAATCGCGCTCGGGATGATGACCATAAAGCGGTGAGTTGAGTGAGAATGTTGCTCTCCATAAAAGTCTGAGTGACTGACTGACTCGTGCGAACCGAATACCAGGTGACCGAAATGGCGCGATACGGCGAGATGACGACGCTGCACCTGGGCACCAAGACATGGATCCTCCTCAACAGCAAGCGCGTCGTGGCGGAAATCATCGCCAAGCGCGGCTCGCTGACCAACGGCCGGTCTCCGATGCCCATCTCCAGCGGCATCGTGAGTCGACACGGACGATCCTTGCTGCTGTCACCGGAGGAGGGCTGGACGGAAAAGCGCCGGGTGATGCACGCGCTGCTGAGTGGTTCGGCGCTGAAGCAGTACGGCGGCTGGCAGGAGCTCGAGAGCACGCAGATGATGGCCGAGTACCTCTACCAGCCGCAGCGCTGGTTCGCGCACCATTACCGCTACGCTAACTCGGTTGTCCACCGGATCGCGCTCGGTGAGCGGCTACACAAATCCAGCCAGGAGCTGGCTGACCTGCAGGATGTGGTGACCCGGTTCGTCGGCAGCATCGGCACCAGCTGGATTGACTGGTTCCCGGAACTGGATTGCTGGACCCCCAAGTGGGTGTTGCAGCCCTGGCGCCGCTCCTGGGAGAAGCTGGGCCAGTGGAACTACGAGGTCTACCGCTCTTGGTGGGTGCCTATCCGCCGCCAGGTTGACGCAGGTACCGCCCCGCCCTCATTCGTGCGCGATGTGCTCCTGCATGAAGATACCAAATTCACCGGCGACGACCAGGAGGCCATGTATGTGGCGATGCAGCTGATCGAGGCTGGTAGCGACACCACCCGCGAGGTGCTGAATACCTTCGCCATGGCGGCGCTCTGCTACCCGGATAAGTTCCAGAAGGCGCGCGAGGAGGTGGACCGGATTTGTGTCAACAGCGAAGATGGGACACTCCGTCTGCCCTGCCTGGCAGACATGGAAAACATGCCGTACATCTGTGGGGTGATCAAGGAATTGCTGCGGTGGCGGCCGATCTTCGTCTTCACTCCGGATCACTGTCTGACAGCCGACTTAGAGTTTGAGGGTTACTCATTCCCGGCCGGGGTGGGGTTTGTAATCAACGAGGTGCCTGTGGGTAATGAGTGCGAGGATCCCGAAGAGTTCAAGCCGGAACGTTGGCTGGATGGCCATGAAGCGGATGTGGCTCATGGCCTGTGGCAGTTTGGCGGAGGGAGGCGCATTTGTGTTGGATATCGATTGGCCCAACGCGGGCTTTTCATCAATATTGCTAGGCTGGCAATGTGCTTTGACTATGCTGCTGTAAGATCATATCCGCCCCTTCATTCTGTTTTTCGCAACTACGATTGTCTTCTTAACTAATGGTTTGGGGATCTGCAACAGGCCGGACCAATTAATTCCAGAAAGCTCAATCATCACCTGACGACAGAGCCATTTCCCGTCAAAATAACAGTACGCAGTAGTCGGCATGTACAGTTGATCGAAGAGGAGGCGGCGCGGGAAGGTGTTCTGGCCACTGCGCAGGGAAAGTGAGTGATTTGGACGAATCTGTAGATAACCTGCTTTTTTGTGTGCATCTTTAACACTTGAATAGCGAATGAACCATGAATCAAGAACTGTGAAGCATACAGGTACAGTAATTAAAAGCATGTGTGTGTCCATTCAATACTCTTCATCGAACCAAGACTGGTTCATGCAATTGACCTTCTTAGCATGTTTGGCATCTTAGCATGTATCCCCCTGCCACAGTAGCGTACTTATCTTTGTAGTATAAACACAAAAGCAGAACATTGATCCATGTACAATGCAGGTATCCCTACAAACGGTCATTTAATCTTCTCTCCGGAAAGCATCCACAATCCACCGCGTGACGATCTCGGCAGTGCCCCGGGGTGGTCGGCGCGCCATGAAATCCATCAAGGGCGCATCATGAGCCTCGTCCGTTGCGATATGGGCGACCAAGTTAACCAGGGTTCGCTGCCGAATCAGCTGTATAAATTGGCCCACATGGTCGCGGAAGATCTCCTCCCGGCCCGCCGTAACAAGCAGCTCGTCCACCACCAGCCCTAAATTATCCCACCATTTGCCCGGAACATCCAACGCCATCCCCCATCCTTTACCCTGCGAGATCTCCCCGTGCCAGGGAGTCTGGTCGACGAGGTACTTTCCAAATGTGCGAACCACGTAGGGTGATAATACATCGACGCTGAAGCGCTGGCGGTAGGACGGTGTGGTGAGGTCAAGGGATAAAAGGGGCGAGATGAGGAAACAGCCTCGAAAACGGCTGGAGTGATCACCCACTGTGGAGGAGGGGGCGGTGGTAGCGGCGGAAGGGGTGTGTGGATATGGGTGCATCAGCGCGGAGAGCACCGAGAGGGAAAGGTGGCCCCCGGCGGAGTCTCCACCTAGTATAATCTAGTGATTCGGCTTCAGTAAGTAACGAAACGGTCTCAATACCGATGAAGCACGCTCTTGATTGTACAGTACATTGGAGAGTTTGTAGCCATGGTCTACCAAGTGCTGTAGGCCCAAAAGGGCTTGTCTGAGTTGTGTAGGATAGCGGTGTCCCGGAACAAGTGCTAAAACGGAAAGGCGAGGCGATTAGAAGCAAAGGTTATTCCAGGGCACACTTAAGAGGGGCGAAAGGAAAGTCTACTTACAGTACTCTACTATGCAAACGCTGACATCCAATGAGGCTTCCAAGCAGCTCTTCCTCACATGTGCCATCCAGTCAAGATGGCCATCAGAAAGTGGGAGCACGTATCCTCCTCCTTGAAGAGGTAAGCTTCATGATTGCGCTTTTCATTTACAGATTCGAACGGAGAGAAAAGACCCAATACCGTGAAAGAATAGTATCACCTTATCGGATTTCTTGTGGCCAAGCCAGAGGAGGTGAGTTGTCTCGTCCTTCAGTGTGTCGATCCGGTGGAATAATCCGGTGCGCTCCGCATTCCGACGGATCCAGGATGTGTACGTTTGCGTCGTGGAGGGGGCAATCGCCTGAACCTGGTCGGGATGGAGGCAATCCATGATTGCTCTTGCGCACGCATTCTGGATGCTCGGGCGAAGCGGAAATCCTCGAGCTGAAGCTCCAATCGCGGTCTTGAAAACGTTGAATATTAGTGATAGAGGGATCCGAAAGGCAAAGGCAGCTATTAAGCCCAATTTTTGCGCAATGGAAAGCTGCGTTCTCGCTGACATCTTGCATTTAGAATGGGGAATTGGTCAGTGCTAGGAAACAGATCATAAGGTAGAGCTCCCTGAAATGCCTGCCAGCTACAGAGTCTGGTCTTTTATCCCGACCGTCTTATCGGCGAAACTCCACAGTCTCTTTGTCAATCACATGTAACAGTAGTTCCAAACCTTGGTTACTGGTTCCCCGCATGGTCGGATCATCCCGAAGACTCAACCGGCCATGATCCGGGGTCGCGTTTGGCCGCGGCTCGAGCCCTGACCCTGGCACGGTCAAGGCTATTCCACCATACTATAGTGCCCAAGTCCCTGTGCATACATATACTGAGCAGATTTTGGGCATTACTTCTAGCACTAGTCTTTGTCCCCTAGCACAACCATAAGCGCATCACTTTTGCCGCATCATCAAACATGGCTTCTAAAGACCCCCTATCCCCCCTCCGGCCTGAAATACCATCATACAGCCAAATCGCCTGCATTGGCACTGGATTGTCAGCAGTCGCCCTAGGTGCGACCCTGCAGCGATGGTATAATATCGAAGATATTCGTTTCTTTGATAGACATCCCGAGAGTGGGGGAACATGGTACATCAATTCCTACCCTGGGTGCGGCTGCGACGTGCCCAGCGCGCTGTACAGTTACTCGTTCGAATTGAACGCCAACTGGACCAAAATGTTGCCTTCCAACCAGGAGATCAAGCAGTATCATGAATGTGTTATGGATAAATATCACCTCCGCGAGAAGATGGTGCTCTCTACCGAAGTCACCCAATGCGTGTGGAGAGACGATGCGGCTCGATGGCTCCTCTACTTACGGGATGTCAAGACGGGTCGCGAATTCACTCACGAATGTCAGATCCTGTTCGCTGCCAGTGGTCAACTGGTGAAGCCTCGTCGCTGCGAGATTCCCGGATCAGAGGAGTTTCGTGGTGCCATCTTTCACTCCGCGCGATGGGACCATAGTGTTAGCTTGGATGGGAAGAAGGTGATTGTCATTGGGAACGGCTGTAAGGGAACACTCATGCCGAATGCAACGGCCATTCAAAGGCCTCTTGCTAACTTCCTCTTCTTGCTCTGACGTACACAGGCACAGCGGCCCAGATTGTGCCTGCCATCGCTGGCAAAGTGGAGTCGCTGACTCAAATCATTCGATCCAAACACTGGGTTTCCCCGACGCATAATTTCGCCTACCCGCCTCTCCTGCAATGGATCTTCCGTTACATCCCCTTCACGATGAGATTGCATCGTCTGCACATCTTCCTCGCGGCGGAAAGCGACTACTTTCTCTTTCCCATGACCAAGGCAGCCGCCCGACTGCGAGCGCAGCGCAAGGCCAAACTGGAGAAGTACATGCGGGCTACTGCTCCGGCCAAGTATCATGATCTTCTGATCCCCGACTTTGATGTCGGCTGCAAGGTTCGTATCAGCCAGCAACAACTGTGTCCCATGGCTGACTTCAATGCACTCCAGCGGCGCATCATCGACTGCGGCTATCTCGACTCTCTGCACAATGACAAAACCACCCTATCCAATGTCCAAATCGACAAGATCATCCCCGAAGGTATCCAAACAAAGCAGGGAGATGTCATCCCCGCCGACGTGATTGTGCTTGCCACTGGCTTCGAGACCAATACCTTCACCCCATACATGAACATCGTTGGTCGCAACCGGGTGAGCCTGAGCGAGCATTGGGCCCAGTATGGCGGTCCGTCCGCCTACAATTGCTCCGTCATGAGCGGGTTCCCAAATTTCTTTCTGCTGCTTGGACCGAATGCGGCCACGGGCCATACTTCGGCCTTGATGGCGGCAGAGAAGTGCGTACTATCCTTTGGACCTTCATCTTCCTGGGTTTCTTTTCTGACGTTTCTATCCATCGGACAGCTCTATCAATTATGCACTTCGCACCTTGAAGCCTGTTCTGAGCGGCTCTGCCTCGGCTGTGGAAATCAAACAGGAAGCCGAGAGAAGCTATGTCTACTGGGTGCAGGACGCACTCCGAAAGCGGGTGTGGAATGCTGGTTGTGTTTCGGTAAGTGTGCTCTGCCTACAGTACCTTGTGCCCATGAATGTATTCGCAAGCTTACACCCATGGTTGAATCAGTGGTACCTAAACGAATCGAAGTGGAATTCGATGTCTTATCCTTGGACGCAGGCGCATTTCTGGTGGCGCAGCCTGTTCCCGACGTGGTCGGATTGGCATATCAGGGTAAGGCGGCAGGTCTTTTCCTTTCTATAAATTTTACTGACATCAGAGATCCAGTGGCAGAAAAGAAACGGTCTGAAGAACCGGTCAGCGTCGCGAATCCTGCTTTTGATTCTCCTTCTAGCTCTGCTCGGGATGTCAAAGCGGTATTTGCACCTCATTCCAGTTGATTTGATCCAGAAGTTGGGTGCTTGAAGTGTTGTTATATCTTATCTTCTGCAAAATTCGATTCTGTCTCCTCACTATGCCCTCTTTTGATGGGACTTTCGAGGCTGCGGTGCGGAGTTGTCATTATGGTTTATTATGTTCATGGCGTGGTTATATATTTTGGGGGCAGAAGAAGGCTGGACCCTGTAATCACGTGATCTATAAATGCAAGGCCTCATTGACGGGTCAGTAAAGCAAGATGTGGGAAGAGAAGTATTGTTATATTCATTCAGGGTCTTAGGAAAAGCTTGATGTAGTCGGAGGTCAACAATGTTTCGCTTGAAGAACAGAGGATTGAGCTGATTCTCTCCCCCACACGAACAGGTTTTCCCATGGATGTGGGGCGCGCTTTCTGCATTCCGCGCGGCGCCGCGGTTCTCGGCACCCCCCCTGACTGATGCTTATATCCTTCCCCAGCCCCGCAATTCAACCCAGCACGAACTGAAAGTCAAACAGCGCGCTTCGATTTGCCTCCTGTTATCCACTTAGCCCTTTGTACTTTGCCTTTTCTTTTCTTGCAGCATGCCTCCCAAAATGGGCGGAGTCACTAAACCACAACGCGCGTCGCGTCGGAAGATCGCCCTCGCTTGCGATGTTTGCCGAGAGAAGAAGACTCGGTGCGATGGCGTGAAACCCACATGTGGTCCATGCCTACGACGTCCCCATGGCGCTCGCGGTTGCGTATATACCATGGATAACGCCAGAACTGCAAGTCAAGATGAGTAAGTCGTTGATATCGATAATGAACTCGTGCTATTGCTGAAAGAGTGGCTCAGGTACATGCGCGCCCTACACCTACGTATCCAGGAACTTGAAGATGCATGCACTCGAGCTGGAGTGTCACTATCTGGAACGAAAGAGGGTTCTTCGGGTGTGAGCCTTCCCACAGAACTACCGCAACATGAGCGTCAGTCTCCAGCGTCGTCTCGAGAGCTTCAAGGGGGACAGGGAAGCACCGACCATGCTAATAGTGCCCTTCGTGGTGTACAACCCACTGCCGCCGTACCAGAAATGATACACAATGAAGGAATAGGAGAGGCGGACGCCTCCGAAGCCCCCAGTTCTGCGTCGCCTCACTTCGAAAGCCCTGGTCATGTTACGGGAATGGGCCAGATATCCGCACCGGACGGATGCCTGCGTACGCCTGCAGCTGTACCTGCCAAAGAGTACTATGGCTCCTCCTCCACTGCCTCACTCATGCGCTTCGCACGGATGACTCTACCCCCACGTTCATCGGGGCCGATTGGCGCAGACTCTCAGGGCACTCTTAATTATGAATTCCAGGAGTCTCCGAACACCTACTATCGACCGGATGACTATACACTGCCCCCCCGCTCGGTGGCTGACCAGCTACTCGAATGCTACTGGGACCGGGTAGCTTGCATATACCCCTTTTTTGACCGGTCTTATTTTGAACTGGCGTACCAGAACCTCTGGAAGTCCGAGAAAGAACCGATGAATCAATTGTCGAAACTTAACATCGGTCTGGGTGGGCAGTTCGACTCAGGTCCTAGATCGATTGTGTTTCACGCAGCCTTGAATGCCATGTTCGCGCTGGCCTGCCATTTCGCGGAGATCCCAATTCAAGAACGAGAGTCGACCGCCCACTCCTTTTTCCTGCGTAGCAAACGGTTCATTGGTCTAGACATTCTGGAGCATAACACAATCGGGGTAGTCCAGACGCTTCTCCTCACCGCCCTGTATCTGCAGAGCACCCCGTATCCCAGTCGATGCTGGAATGCGATCGGTTTGGCATGTCGAATCGCGCAGGGGCTGGGCCTGCACAAAAATGACAGTCGCTTTCCGTGCACCTCGTTGGAAGGTGATGTGCGCCGGCGAACATGGCACGGTTGTGTGATGCTCGACATGTAAGTGCTCCCATATTTCATCCCTAACTCGGCGCATCATTTCTGACAGCGTTTCATGCATCTAGCCTAGTCAGCATGACACATGGCCGACCCAGCATGACTAGTCATCTCGCCTTTCTTCCACTGCCGCGTTCTTTAAACGCTTCTGAGTCACCTGAAAGCGAAGCAACACGATCAGAAATGAGCTTCTATGTTGCGTCAATACAACTACACCAAATTCTCGGGAAGATCCTATCCGACGTGTATAATACATGGAATAGCCAGTCGGAGGAGGACCCTACACCATCGAATCTCCCGAAAGACTTCAACGTAGATAATGTGATCGAGCTGGAGAAACAGCTTCATGTCTACAAGTCCAATTTACCATCATATCTTGACTGGGCCGTGCCAAGGTCGACATATGGCGCCACAGAGCCCTCCCCCATCTTGGAACGGCAGCGGAATGTTCTCCACGTACGGTGAGCAGTATAGAATCCCCCGACTCGTGCCCAACCCAAGTCTCTGATTCACAGTGTGTAGGTACTGTCACATCCGCCTCCTGCTTTACCGACGTATCTTCACTCAGTGCTACTCAGAGACGGCTTCACACAGTGCTCAAGGCGATGGGAGTGAGCCTGGTCTTGTCCCGCCCACCCAAAACACGGACAATACACTTTACTCCTGCATTGCTGATAAATGTGCCGAGACCTGCGTTATGACCGCAGTCGATCTCGTTCAAGCGGTCTACGACACCTGCTGGACTACATTTACAGGTGCATGGTGGTACAATGGTTTTTGTAAGGAGACACCTCATTTATCCTTTCCTTTCCTCACTTCCTGATTGAAAATGTGTGCTATAGATACAACCACCGCGGCACTCGTCTTAGTCATGTCCTACTCGATGCCATCGTTGTTGCGGTCGATAGGCCCCTCTCTGGTCCAAGAAAGCTGGGCCAAATGTGAAAGGATCCTTGGAGACATGGCGACTTACAGCCACTCGGCGCGAACCTCTCTCCACTTCCTGCAGACCACCTTCAACCAAGTCGCTAGCCGCTGTCAGCCCTCGCCCGAACCCAGTGTGAACGCAGCAGACGGCACAAGTAGACTTGTTGCGGAATCTTCCGCTCCCACCATCAATCGAGATGTGAACTTGCCTGACTCGGAGGAAGTGCCAGGGAACTCCCTGACTTCGAACCTGTGTTCATACTCTGCCGATGACAATCTGAGTGCAGAAAACCTTGGTCTCTTTTCATGGGTGGATATTCCAGACTTACCGCCGTGGCTGGGTAGTAGTGAATTCTGGTTGGGAGATCCATGCCACTGAGACTATCATCAAAGTACTCACTACTCACCTGATAAGTACCTATATCTTTATTCAGTGGTCGTGGTTTCATTATGGGAGCTTTCACTCATCTCCAGGCAGGCTGGTACCGGTACAGTACACGGTAAGAAAGAACCGGAAAGTTCCCGGGCGGGTCATTCTTTGGTCTCCGGTAACTACCGGTATTCAAGTATTATTTACACTTCCCCCGCTTTTCGCGTCTTCCATCTCGAATCAGGGGCCTCCGCCCCAGATCACCGTGGATCATTTATATTCGGGAAGGTAGGAGACCCTCAGGATCTGTACTATCACTACAATCTGCGTTTCTCGGTTGTGTGCAATTTTCGCCTAACGACCAGGAGAATGGGTACCCCAAGGAGAAGCTTCCTCCCTCGCGAGGGATTGTATATTGATCCGATTATCATGGGCCTACGCAAGACGATTCTCCATCCCGGTTTCAGCATCCCTGCCTGGTGCGTTGCGCAGCGGGCGGGGATAGCGTCACCACTCTACACGCAAGTTGCTCAATACCTCGCTATGGCCAGCGTCCTCCTCTGGCTCAACACGTATCTCAGTGTGAAAAGCCGAAACAACTGGACCATCGATCATATGTGGGATGATGACTGGACGAAAGAGATTGTGGTGGTCACTGGGGGTAGTGGCGGGCTGGGGGCCGGGGTCGCTCAGCGACTAGCGGCTATGGGAGCCCGTGTAGTGGTCGTCGATATTATCCCTTTAACTTATTTGCCTGGTTGGTATTCTGCCCTTCTATGGTGTGAGGGAAGGAGCTGGACTTGGGGTACTAGAGGGCGAGCTAACCCATCAAACTCGCTACCGCTCGCGAAAACAACCAGAGAACGACCGCATCACCTATTATAGATGTGATTTGAGTGATGAGAAAGAGATCGCATCCTTATGCGAAAAGGTTCGATCCGAGATTGGCGATCCATCGGTCTTGGGTGAGTCGAAACTAGAAAAGCACGAACAAGCAAACAATCAGGGCTTTCGCTGACATCATTCCAAATATAGTCAACAATGCCGGCCTCTCGCGCGGTCAAACCGTAGCGGAGGGGACGTACCACGATAATAGTATCACCTTCAAGACGAACCTCCTCGCCCCGTTCCTTCTGACCAAGGAATTCCTTCCCGGCATGATCCGCCGCCAGCATGGCCATATTGTCAACGTCTCCTCGATGAGCGCCCATATTCCTCCCGCGGGACTGGCGGACTACGCGGCTTCAAAGGCCGGGTTGATCGCGTTTCATGAGGTATATATTGTCTTCTATATTGTGCGGCCGGAATAGACCCGGAAAGCACCCTTGTCCGCTAATCAAGTCTCCCCGATAGTGTCTATCTCAAGAGCTCAAATTTCGCCACAATGCTCCCAAAATTCGAACCTCGCTTTTAGTCCTGAGCTTTACCAAAACCCCAATGTTCAAGGGGGAAACCAACCAATCCCATTTCTTCATGCCGCTGTTGCATGCGGACACGGTGGTGGATGCGATCGTTGACACTCTGGTGGGTGGGTTGAGTAGGACCATTTTCTTACCGGGGATCTTTCGGCTTTTTGCTGGATTGGTAAGCTTCGATTCATATTTTAATCTCCAGTTTATACATGCGAGATCTGTTGATACTGATTGTGTATCGAATTGAAACAGCGAGGTGCGCCGGAATGGTTCCAGACTTTAATCCGAGACGGCTCGCAATCCTTGGCGGTGGACTTTAAAGGCCGGCAAAAAATCGATCCGGTTGCGGGAAAGCTTATCTAGGGTTGATGATATCATTTCCGATGAATAGCAGGTGTGGATAGGAGATTGTGTAGCTATGATGTATTGTGTTAAATTGTCGATAGTAGACGGGAGCTGTGCCGTGACCGGAACAGTCGGCCCACGCCCGGGCGGGGTCCGGAACGCACCCGACATACTTCCTGGATTGAGTGCAATAAGAAGACCCTACCTCTTTTGCCCGGAGGTTATGTTGTTATGTTCTCAAGCATCTTCACTATCATTCATCGTGATCGAATGATTTATAGGTTCTTGCTTGCATTGTTCAATTGGCTTCTACCCTGGACCTGGAAATCCAAACTCAACGACATGACGGACCGCGGGATGGACTGGCTGCAAGGGAAGATCCTGGCTTGGACTCACCCACCGCCCGTCAGCAAGATCGACACCCACCACCATTTCGTGCCCTCGTTCTACCGGGAAGGTTCGTGCAGTCCGGCCCTAACTCTGGCACTGTAACAATTACTAATGCTGGGATATTCCAACGCAAAGCCGTTGAAGCAGCAGGAGGTATGTCCAATGACAAAGTCAACCACCACTCTGTTTAGTAAACCAAGCTTAACCAACAAGCAAGGTGACCCAAGCGGCTGGCCCACCCCCAGCTGGAGCCCCCTCCGCTCCGAGCTCCTCATGAAACGCCTGGGGATCCGCACGGCGATTCTCTCGACCACAGCCCCAGGGGCCTGCATCCTCCAAGGCGAAGCCTCATACAAGCTGGCGCGGCAGCTAAACGAGTACGCGGCAGACCTGCGCGACAAGCACCCCGACCGGTACGGGTTCTTCGCCAACCTCCCGGACATTCTCCTGCATCCAGACGCCGCCCTCGCCGAACTGACCTACGCCCTGGACACCCTACACGCCGACGGCGTCACCCTGTTCACGCGCTACGGCACCTCCGCCGCCACGCAAGCGTATCTGGGCCACCCGTCCCTCGAACCAATCTGGGTGGAGCTGCACCGCCGCAAGTGCGTGGTGTTCGTGCACCCGACCCACCCGGCCGACACGACCCCAGTCAACGCCCACCTCCCGCAGCCCGTCATCGACTACCCGCACGAGACCACCCGCACCGCCATGGACATGATCCTGAAAGGCACTCGCCGCAAGTACCCGGACTGTCGAGTCATCCTCTCGCACGCCGGCGGCACCTTACCGTATCTGATCACCCGGCTGGCGACGCCCCTCCGCAAGGCGCCGGACCTCGCGGCCGAGTATGTCATCGGCACGACCTATGAGCAGGTCATGGCGGATTTCCGGAGTTTCCACTTCGATCTGGCCCTGTCGGCGACGCCACAGGTCGTCGAGGTGTTGCGGCGGATGGTGCCGTCTGATAGGATTCTTTATGGGGTGAGTTATCCTTCTGTTCAGTCCTCTCGGCTTTTTCTCTTGCCGGGGAAGGAAGTGGAGGGAAAGAGTTTGTGTGCGCGGACTGACTGTGCTGATAGAGTGACTTCCCGTACGCCCCGTTGCCGGCGTATCCGGCTTTCTTGGAGGAGTTGGAAGAATGCGAGATGTCGGAGGAGTTGCGCGAGGGGATTTATTTCGGGAATGCGCGGAAGCTGATTCCGAGATTGGCGGGGGAGGCCGGGCGTGAGGGGAAAATCCGATGCTGAGTTATTTGAGTGAAGGGACAAGGTACTGCCGTATTTGGGGGAAAGGAGGGAGGCTGAGGCTACAAGGCGGCCCCTGCAACTGTAGGTATGGATTTTCGACGCGGTCAATTGTATGAGATACGAGGATATGAGTAAAAAGAACCTTTTCAGCGCAACTAGTGGAGTACATTGCTCAACACTTATAGCCGCGTATCGAACATCGTGCGGATTGCCGAGGAAAATAAAAAGGCTGTGCTGATCACTCCCGGTGACTTATGCCTTGCGGTCTTTGGCTTTAGCTGGCGAGTGACCAAAAAGAACAGACAGTTCGACATCAATTAGTCTAGAATGCTGTCAAATTGCGGTAGAACGTGAGCATAAGTAGAACGTGAGCATAAGTCTTTCATGTCTGCAAAATAATCTGCCAGGCTCAGCGTCCGAGAATACGAGCTTGGTAGGGGGGCATCATAGAAAACTCACCGCTCGTTTGACGTGTGTATCTCTCTCAGAGATCTCTCCGAGACTCCCTGCCCCCGGCGCTACCGAAGAGAGGATGCCCCGGAGGGACTTCCAGAGTCCTCCAAGGGGGGATGATGGCTTCTGAACGCGACGACAGCAACCCGATGGTTTGCTACAAGTCCTGAGGTTTGATTCGCAGAACCGCCCCTTAGCCTTGCTGATACAGGCCCATGGCTCAAGCTCAGAAGAAGCCGTCACCTAGTCCTGCTAATGTTCAGAGCACCAACCCGGGTGTCGTCGCCTATTGCTCAAAGATGCTCCTGATGCTTCTGATCAGCCAATCTATCTCATTCTGGTCTCTGTGGATACTCAGGGTGCGGGCTTCAGGTGGAGGGCTCTGAGGATCGAGACCAAAGGGGACCAATTGGCCTGAGTCTTCTGGCAGTTGGAAGAATCGGACCCTGTCGCCAACGGCTGCAATGCCGTACAGGGTATGTTGGGTCCCACTGGTAGTACGGACGCCGGTAAGCCGATCCCGCAGCTGATTCTGCAGCGGCCTCCAGCTGAACCTTTGCTCCCAGCCAGGCAGAGTGTTTCGCGGAAACCGTTTGGCTTCGACGATAACGACTTTCTGCAACGCGTTCCCCATAATTCTGGTAAGAAGCACATTGGCTGTGAATCTGCCCTGCGGGTTGGTATACGACTCTCGCTCCACGCCATAACGGCCTTGGAGCGGAAAGTAGTTTTGGAAGACATTGAGCCAGAAGTTGTCCACTACTTGCTCATATGGCTGGATCCCAACCTGCGCAGGATGTAGAACGTTCAAATACATACGTATCACATCTACATCTTGGCAATAGGGTACCTCTGGGAACGGGAGTACTGGTACTCCCACTTGCACTTGCACTTGCATCTTGGTCCAATTTTCAGCAGTTCGTCGCGCGAAAAGGCCTGCTTTTCGAAAGAATATCTGGCTTTGTAGATGACTGACACGGGTAAGAGAAACCTGTTGAAGAGAAAAACAGATTGCTGGAATTCCAGACTGCGACAAAAGACAGGAATATATCTCATGCGATTGAGACTAGCCACAGCGGTGTTCTATGTCCGTGTCAAGCAGTATAACACGTTATTGACTCAAGTCAGGTGAATGTTCGCACCTTGTTTCAGATGGCAGCTTGCCTTTTACTCTGTATCCTTCATCATCGAGATGTGTGTTACTCCAGATGGTCATGTTTTGTGCGACACTCCGTTGTCTTGCTTTTGGCCTCTCGAAAGATGAGCTTCTAGGCTTAGCAACAAAACCAGCAGGTATCCGGAGAGATGTTCACCTTCCTGCACACCAAACAGACTTGATGACTGCTTGCTTCTTGATGATTGCTTGCTTTCTTGCTTGATCTGTAGTTCATCCCTAATTTCAGTCCCCTCCGTGAAGCTCTTTCCCATTTGCAAGTGGTGCTATGAATCACTGTAGATCTCAACCAAGTCCTTTTTTATCTGAGAATAGTATACAATTTAGAAAATGGAAAAGGTAGAAGAAAATCAGAAGGCATAAGCTAGTAGTAGGCAGATTAGTAGATAATTCATACTTCATTTAGTACTAGACTCCTGCACTTGTACAGCTAGATTGCGTAGCTTTCTCTTTTCTTCTTTCCCTCCCATCGCTAAGAGGTAAAAAGAGCCAGATTTGGAGCTCGAGTAAGGACGTGCACCTTCTCAATTGGGTATGTCTTGACATGCGGTATTCGATCACATGTAGGGAGAAAGCCTTTGCCTCGCAATCGAAGCAAACCGTGAAGCCACCGCCGTCTGAGGCATGCCAACCTCAAGGGTCAAGTGGGCAGCATCTTAAACAGGAGCATAAGCAAGTCGAATGTTCTATGTTTGGCGAGCGAGATAAAGCACACATGGTGATTCCCCACAAATGACCGATCACCATAACTGAGCTGATTCCTCGTTGACAATGGGCAGAATCGCGTAGGGCGAGGCACGTTTGACTGGCAACCCTCTTGGGGGAACAGAAAGCATTTAAGAAGAGACACGATGAACAAAGAAATATGTTTTCGAAACAATCTAGGATCATGGCAGACCTTTGTGCTGCAGCACATGAAAACGAAGTACTAATTTCTCGAGCAACAGAATTTGAATGAGATCACATCAAATAATTAGCCTACCCCAAAGCTCATCTCAAGTTCCAGTGCGCTGGTAACAAACCCACTCCTTTGAGCCGTTTGGCTACTTCCTGCCAATTTTCTTCGGATATCTGATTGAGGCGTCTTCGCCCTCTTCCCAGCACTCCTAGGTCAATGATCTTCCGATGCTAACACCCCGCAGGGACACTGTCAGCATAACAACCATCAATACGATATACAACATAGAACACCAAGGCGGGCTTCGAGGCCGCCGACTGGGCGGGCCCTGCAGTCTCCGCGGGTTTGGGGTTGGAAAGGCAAGAATAGGACATACATCGGAAACGGCAGTGACTTGGTATACTTCATCAAGAGAGCTGTAGAAAGGGTGGTATGGCCGGGGCTCTATGTAATCGCCCACTGCAAAGCGCTTGACGGTATCCAAGTAGCCTACACTGTAGTCCATCCCGGGCAAGATCAGAAAGCCGGTCACACCACCAGCTACATCCCTACTTACGGAAAATCCATGGAAGCTTTCGATGTCGATTGTTACGCGAACCCCGGGATAAAAGTACGGATTCGGCATGCCCATCTGTTTCCACTGCGTCTCCCCATGGATCTCCCTTGCTTCAGGGCATGAGTAGCCCAGCATGGCTCTGGATCCATCCTTGAAAAAGAAGTCCAATCCAGTGATGGAAGGCTTGGCGGTCTCCTGCAACACGGAGACCGCAACCTGGCATACCGGAGCGTGGATTTCGACAACCTCCCGGTACGTACCCCGCACGAGGGTATTATCATAATGATGGAGACCCATGCCGCGGAAGTCAAGTGGGCGAGGCCGCCCGGAATGCAGAGCCAGGGCTGTGTCGCGAACCCAGCGCAGCGCCTCCCACGTCCCAATCTCCAGGCGAAACCCCCAACTACAGCCCAGCTTACAGGTGCAGTGGTAGAGCAGCCTCCAGTCGATCTCCCCCTCCTCTTCCTGCCTCCTCCTTCTCCCTTTCCTCTCAAAGTAGTTGCGGAGGACGGGCAGCAGGAATCCCCGTTCTGCATTGATCTCAAATCTCGTTTTCCAAAACGCGCGGCTGGAGAAAATGCCTACAAATCCGCGTGACGCGCAACGGAGATGCAAAATATCCCGTGTCGGTAGCAAGATGGCAATTGCTTCGATGATCTCCAGGGGCAGACGCTGGAAGCCATCCCTGCCGGTTCGACGCCGGTGGGAGGCGCGCCGTCGCGGGGTGATACACGAAGCTGGCAGAGGGGGGTCTCTGGGGAAGCGCATGAGCTCTTCCAGCGCGGGCAGTCCGAACCGGCCATCACGCCGGATCTCTTGATCTTCAAACGTCGAGTGGAAGGACGGGTGGCCACCTGGAGTAAATGCGTGGTGAGATTGCCCCGGTGTATAGGGCAATAACTCCAATGCCTCGAAAAGACTTCCTAGGTGTAGTTCATCGGGGCCGAAATGCTCCAGCAGACGGTGCCAACATACTTCATGGATGAGGTACACGTCGGTTTGACGATGCGCGGGCATATCACCCAGTCCCCAGCTGTCATCAGTCTCGGTATCTCCTGGCACTCGCGCCTCGTCTCGTGCCCCCGGCGAGCTAGGGGCTGCCATGACGGTCCGGGTCACCTTGACGCCGGACGTCGTGCAATAAACTTGACTTGATGTCAGCATAAACTGCAAGCATGTACACTTCTCACGCGAGGAATCAGGAGGCTAGCTCACCGGCCCTGAAAGGCTTCTTCCATGGGATGGATTCTCGGATTACGCCCCCACACACCGTGCACAAGCCGGTGTAGAACGGTATACTGAATTGAAGCATTGAAAACATGATTCAAGCTGAAGACACTATATTCCCAAGCTGGAAGGCTAGAAGAGCGGTCAGTCAATATACATCCTGCCAATGCACGCTCCTATCCCAGGCCTTTTATACCCCTCTTGCCCACGTCATCAAGATGTCATTTGTTGAAGTGACAGAGGGCAACATTCCCATCCAATTCCCGCTCGGTTCAAATTTCATTCTGAGTTCGAGAAGCATGGCCTCCCGATTTGACGGGAATTGAGTTCCAGAAGTGCTAAACAATGGTCAAGCGCCCGAAGCCTGAGACCGTAACACCGGCCATCCTTGAAGTCCACCAAGAAAGGGCCACAATGGAACAATTCGTACACTAATAATATAGAACTTCAACACAATAATCAAAAGCGTGATTCTCTGATACTCAATGTCTGCAACACAATTATAGTCGACCGAAACAATGGAGAAAGTAACTGATAGCTATTCAGAAAGAGTTTGCCAGCGAAGGGGGAAACGGCTTGATCAGGTCGCTACGTGTATATATGGCTTCGCATTCCAGCCTCTCTTTCGAATTCTCTTTGTCTTCTTCCTCTTCGTCCCAAATCATCGTCTCTCAGGTAGAAGGTTCATCTTGGTGACATTTTATTGCGTGTCCAAGCTGATGAAGCGCAAGCACAACGGCTACGACAATCGCTAACTACCACAACCACAACCACCACAACCAGCACCACTATGGCTGCCGCTCAGCAGTATGCAACCATTCATCAATGCCTTATCTATTGTGCACGCATGTCTAACGGACACTCAGCAGATTTTCGTAAACGCGGGTGGCCGGGCCACCATTGTGGCGCCCGCCGACAATCGCCCCCGGGCTCTGCGGAAGAAGGACCAAAAGGTCCAAAAAAAGCGACAGGCCCGCAAAGGGCTAGAGAGCAAGGACGCCTCCCACGAGATGCTGGTAAGTTCAAACCGAGGGCATTGACAGGTTGATCCGAAGCGATACTGATAGTTTGCCTGCCGGGAACAGCTGCGCGAGGCCGAGCGCCTCGAAAGGGCGGCCGCGGCGGAGGAGGCGGAGGTGAAGCGAAAGCGGGAGAAGGCCGCGGAGCTGCGGCAGAAGGCCGAGTCTCAGAGCAAGGGCGGGGAGGAGGGGGTGGCTCTCGCGGTGAGAGTGAAGGAGAGCGCCGAGCAGGATCAGCAGATGCAGTAGATGAATTCAAGGTTTACGGCGCTGGACACCGGTTCGTTCCCAAACACTGCAGTCTTCGCTCCTTCTCGTACCATTGTAGTGTACCTAGTGACTACCAAAGACAGGATCTTCAGGCAACCCGTCCACCCCCCAATACTTGCGCAAGCGCTCCCTCATCAATTCATACTCAGCGCCTATCCGCAGCGCCTGCATCTTGTCGAAGTCGATGATCGTCGACGCGCGGCCCCCATACACATGGTACCGCTGCAGCCCGTAATCCACAATCACGTCCGCCGCATCCCTGATCTCCTGGTCGATGTCCTCCACCCGGAACTTCTGGCCCGTGCCGGTGAGATTGGCGCTCGACCCCAGCATCAACTGCCCGTCCTCGTCGTTCAAGCGGCCCAGCTCCACCAGCAGCGACCCTCGACCGAGATAGATGGCCAGCGTGCCGTTTTTGGTCGTGTTTGCCAACGTCGCCGGGGTGAGCTGCTGGAGGAGGGGGTGGTCCGCGCGGAAGGGCGCGACAACCCCGAAGGACATGTCCATCTCGTGGTGCAGCGTGCGGATCATCTCGTGCCGCGCCGCGGGAAGGAAGTGAAGCTCGCAGTGGAGCTGGTAAGTTCCAATGATACCCTGCGCGTGGCCGGGCCGGCGTCTCTTGGCTGCGAAGGCCCGTTGGATTGCTTCGGTCGATGAGGCCATCAGGCCGTAGCCCACTTCGGTGGGCACTAGGGCTACCCCTCCAGATTGGAGGACGTCAAACACGCGGCGTGCATCGGCTTTGATGTCCGGATATTGTCCCAGTGCGGGTATGATCTTGGGTGGGGTTGATGGGTCCATTGGATGCGGATTAAAGTTGTTTGTTGAAACCGAAATCCCCGAATTCAAAAGGGACGATCGGGAAGGAATGGTAGAAGGAAGAACTGGGTCACAAGGCCCGAAAGATGAAAATTCATTGCATTCAAATGGTGTGAGTTTGAGGGTGCGGGTAATCTCTCCCAATTCGCCCCGGTCGGACTCCGAGATCTAGTCTGAGAAACAAGGTACGTGTTCCTTATATAATGGCCCAGGAACTCCAGCGAGTGGCCCACATTTGATGCAAGTGAAGTGGACAAATCAAAAGGAAATTGCTCTTGACACCGGCACTAAGCCTCTAAAGGTAAAGCTTCAAGCTCTGCGGCTTATGGTGTGAATCTGTTAGGGCTTCTTTTCAGCTAAGAAGGACATGACTACAAGGGGCTTTCATGATAAAATACCTCTCATTATCCCTGTTCATGGCAGTTTTGCGGGCAGCGGCAGCCTTATCGCTGATTCCAACCGTAAATTAATCCTTCTCTATGCTATATCCAGTGAGCTTTGGAGTTCCCGGGATGCGGTAAATAGATTTGGGATTCGGTGGGGTCTGGAACTTTCAGCTTTCCTAGAGAGAGGGTGGGGAGGGCTACGGTTTCTGTGTCGTCTGGGAAAGGAGGGGCTTGAGCGAAATATTTTGGAATTAGCATTTTGGGCTTGTTGCGGGGTTGATGGTGTATCGATGGTGGCAATCTAATGAGACTGAGAAGTTGTGATTTGTTAAGAAGGATAATGTGCGAACGTGAGCTTATATATTGTCGCTCGTGATGGAATAGTTTAGATATATAAGATGACGCAGCGAAGGCAGGGCGGGGAAGTGGGAGAGAACGATGGATAAGTCATCTGCGTCCTGCTGCTTAGCCGGCTGAGGACGCAGTGGATCGGGGTCTAATCGGATTCAAGCTGTCTGGGTGATGCTTAGTCTGCTAAGTCTGCTTAGTAACGTAATCGGTAAGCGGGCGGAACGCGCAAGCGAGTGGAACGCCCAACTCGTAATTCTGCTTTATATATAAATTTAAAGTCAAATATCAACCTTTTTACACCATTTAAATCGCTTCTTCTTAATATTTTACTCTCGCTGGACACTATATCTATATATAACCAACTTTATTATATAAAAAACAGCGAGGTGGCGCGCGGCGGCAAGACTGTTCCTCACCAACCGCAGAATCAGACTATTAGATTTTTAAAATTTTATCTTTCTTATAAATCCGGTAAAAAAACTATATAGTTTTATAAACTGTAGCTTCTTCGAAGCCTACTAATTAATAATTATTTTATTTTCTCTTCTTAGTCTGACGTTTGTCTGCAGCCCGTAAATCACAATTTTTCTATTTAAATAAAACTATTCTATTTAATATAATTTTACAGCTTTTAATAATATATAATAATATAGTTTTTATTAACTCCGGAGGACTTTTTATATATTTATATAATAATTTTTTAATTGTAGTTTCATGCTTCTTCAATTGCCTTGTATTCTTAGATATTTTTAGTATAGAAGAAGTAGTAGTTTAATTTTTAATAAAAGTAATCTTTTATAAACTATATATCAGCTTTCCGAGCACTTCGTCCGGCTGGAAAGATATTAAACCGAAAGCTGAAAAGACGTTCTATATAAATAATTTTTTAAAAATAAGTTCTTAGACTTTGGAAAATATATCCAAAAAATCAACCTTATTAATATAATAGATTTTTTAGCGAATTAGCTGTTTAATTATACTACTGTATATCTTCTTTAACAGCGCGAAGCAGGCAACATTTAAAAACTAATAAAAATATAAAAAATATAAAGATATACAGATAGAAACAACATCATTCTAACTGTAGATTTTATTAAAATAAAATATTAAATAAAAGTTATATCTATTAAAAATCAGAAGGCTATATTTCCCGACTCGCTGTTTTTTAATTAAAAAAATAAAATAGTATTCAAACTAATACAATCCGATCTTGTTATTTATCTAATTATTTAGCGAGGTGTCAATTCTTTAAAAATAAGATATATTATCTTTATACCAGATCTCTATATACATATTTTTTTTAATAATAATATACAGAAATAGAATCCAGCCTGAGACGTTAATATACTTAATTAATATTATCTATTTACAATTTCTAAACTATATAAAAAATAATTTATCTATACAGTCAGATCTTATTACTATCTTAACAGTAGCTATTAAACTTATAGTAAATCCAGTTTTATTAAAATTATAAATATCTTTATTTATAATTCCGTTTTTTAATATAATATTTTAAATACAGTCGAATTATTTTTTAATAAGCCTCAGATCTTTGCAGAGAGCTCTTTTATAATTATATCAGCAAAAAAAATATATCTTTAAAAAGTTATAGTATTTAATAAAATTATATATCTATTTCTACTCTATTAAAGTCTTATTTAATATCTTCAGCGAGGCTCTTCGTTTCCGGATTAGTATAAACACCATTTTATAAATATAGAAAAGCCTGAGGGAAAGTTCTTATATATTTAAAAAAAAACCACTATTCTAATATCTCCTCCTCTGGAAGAGTTAATTTATACAAATTAGTATATATATTGCTTCGTGATTTGACTCCTTTAACACAGTTTTAAAAAATAGTTTATAAAATATTAAAAACACGCGCTGCTTCTTATAATAACGGAATTTGATTATTTTTTAAAGCCTTAATAGCTAAGAGGATCCTGCCTTTTTATTCTAGTGGTTGATTTCGTTGATTAAAAGCCTTATGTTTTAGTGGAATGCGGAAATCACAAGTTGGGCGTTCTACTCGCTTGCGCGTTCCGCCCGCTTACCGATTACATTATGCTTAGTGCTTACGCCACTATGCTTTCCACGAGCCCAAATTCCTATCAGACGTTTTTATTGGCTGGTACCTTATTGTGGACAGCAGTGAGATTGATATATAGGTCATGTTGATTGATGGTTAGATGGTACACTCTAAGCTTGTGGTTGATTCGATCAGGGTGCTAAATGGGGTCTATGCAAATGTATAGTACAGTATAGAACCTATAGACAAAGTGTAGCTACTACTCTATTTGGTCTCTATGTCCAACAACGTCCTTCTCCGTGCACAGAACCCTGCAAGAAGTCTACTGAAAAGCCGCCAGAACCTCGTCATTCCATCTGTCTCTCGTCAGCAACGATATCCTCAACATCATGTAGACTAGAGCAACAGAACTTACGAAAGATACTTCCCCGACAACTCCCGAGGCGCATCCACCACCAACCGCGCAAGAACATGTCCTGGCTGCTCGGGTCTCAGCAACCCTCCATCTTTGTGGACGGTGGTAAAGAACGAATGGAACTGCTGATCCATCTTCGTCGCAAGATCCTCCCGGATGCCCCGCTGCATCTCGGTATCCACGATACCCGGATCCACCGACACAGAAACCACTTCAGGCTCTTCTTCCCCCAGCGTCAGCGCCAGATGGTTCATGGCCGCCTTGGTGGCGCCATACAAGCCCCATCCCTTGAAGGCTGACACGGAGGCCGCGGATGAGGTGAAGATAATCCGGCCTTGAGAGGTGCGAAGCGAAGGCAGGGATGCTTGTACCTGTTTCTTACCGTTAGTTCTTCTGAGATGGTCGGCCTTTCAGGGATCATAGTGCCTTGACGTACAAAAGCAACACAGCTAAGATAGTTCACATCAAACCCCTGCTTCCATTGTTCGAGGTCCGCCTCGGCCACATTCCCCACTTGTCCCAGCGTCCCGTGGTTCAGCACGAGTCCGTCCAGCCGTCCGAAGGACTTCAGCGCCAGATCGACGGCCTTCCGGCCGAGTGAGAGATCAGCGAGATCACCGCCCAGGACCTCGACTTGGCTGGGGTGCTCATCTTTCAAAGCTTGGAGGGGGCCAATGCTCCGTGCGATGACGACCAGGTTGTGTGATTGCGGACTGCTGAGGAGATACTTGGCGATGGCGAGGCCGATGCCTTGCTTGTTGTTAGCTTTGGCGGGGGAAGTGGGATTTCGGACGGTGCAAGAGCTGGACGTACCGCGCGAGGCGCCAGTGATAATGAAGGCTTTTGGGGACATAGTTGAATCCACTTTACTGGAGGACATGTAAGGTTGTCTGAAATTTGATTGTGATTGTGGTGAAGGGATTGGCTGAGTCGGAAAGACACGGTGGTGGTGGGTGATGCTGACTAATGGTCTTCCGTAGTTAGCTTGGCCCGCTGGAGACTAAGTGGGTAAAAACCTGAAGGCTGGAACCCTGGATGGATCCACCTAATTGGGACTATGTCATTTGAGGTTAGTAAGGGCTGTGAGGAAGCAAGGTAAGCTTGTCATATATTGTCATATATTTTGCCTTGGAGGGGTGGTACTGTACTATAAAAGCATTAAGCTGGAGCTGCTTGCCAGGTGACATGTTAGGGTTTCCGTGCTGCGTATTCCAGACGTCAACCGCCACCGGCAAGACCGAAATTCTGGCCATCACCGGACGCGGCGTGCAAGCCGCCTACCTGCACTCCTTCTTCCTGAGCCGGGACTATGTAATCCTGTGTATCTGACCGGCGCTGTTCGTGGCCGGGGGCGTCAAAGTTCTGTGGGAACACAACCTGCTCGACGCCATGCGTTTCGACCCTGAGACACCCAGGCGCTGGTACGTCGTCGATCAGAAGGGCGGCGCGGGGTGGTGGCCGCCTTCTCCAGTCCGGCGTTCTTCAGCTTGCATACCATCAACGCCTGGCAGATGGACGATCCTGATGGAGCATGAGAGGGACCCCACGACGGGCCACAGACATCATCTGTGACCTCATCCAATACCCAACTGACGAAATGCTGCCTCGCGTCTACTACGAGTCCTTAGTCTCGACGGGGTCCCAAGGTTGAGAACTACTATAGTAGTGACCGCTTGCGCCCTAGCTTCGTTCGCTATCGTCTTTCCGTAATTCTGTCCACAGGTTACCGTCAAAATACCCGCAATGAGAAGGGAAAGAAAGACCATCCCGGGCGACGACGTAATCGACTATCGCATCCGATGCAGTGGGCGATCTCCCCACTATCAATCCGAAGTTCACAGGCCGGAAAACCCGACTCGTGTACAATCTCTGCATACAGGGGAAGGTATGTCTCTATCTTCTTTTGTCATGTGTGGCACTGACTTAGTACGCTGACTCTGACTGAATGACTTCACTCGTAGTCATCGTTCTTTGATGGTATCGCGAGAATCGATGTCGATACTCGGGAAAGCACGATCTGATCTCGAGAAGTATAATGTGGTGATCGGATACGGATGAATTGCATTTTGTGGGATTTAGCTTCCCTCTTCGCCGATACCGCAAAATTATCCAAACCCTTTCGAATAGTCTATCTGGTCTGAGAGTCGGAGATCGGGGAGCGGCTCCCAGCAACCCCCGCTCCCACGGACCCTTTCAACGATACTAGCCTGGAGAATGCCGCTATTAGGGATCCAAGGAACGATCGCGATGTGTTTTAGTTTGAAAAGAAAAAGCCCCCGAAGCCTTATTTCACCTCCTCCTCGGATCATTCCTTCTTATTGGTCTTTCTCTTTGTCTTATCAGAGGCTTAGTCGAGATCGAGTCCCTCTTTACTAGCTCAGAAAATGGGAGGACGGTAACACCGTTAATGTAAATGCGCACCTGAGCAGTCCGCCACCAATCTCCCTCACTGTGGTCAAACGCCTCAGTCCGACCACAACCAAAGATTTCAGCTGCTGAATGCGGTGTAGTATCGAGGCTTGAGATTGACACAATGTTTCGTTGATATTCGGGAAAAAGTATGGCGAATAGAATCAACAAGCGAATGTAGATATGTACGCACATGCTTCACAATATATATATGACCCTCTTTGATCGCGGACAGCAGGTTAGAATGCTCTTGAAACGCAACCCAGTAGATGCCTGCAGTAAACCTGGATACAACAATGCACTGGTAAATTTGCCACTGGAAGGACAACTGTGAATAGTGGCAAGTTGTGCCAGTCTGGCTTCCATCGACTTCCAGGAGGCGGGTAACTCGACTTACCAGTTGCTATATCAGCATTATGAATGCGACAGCCTGGCTGCGGGACGGGAACAAGCGATCTGAGCCCTTTCCCCTTTGGGAGGCGACTGAATACCACGGGCACGGCACTCACACAATTGCGAACCACATCAGGTGAAACCGACACGAAAATCCTTCCAGGATTAGTCCCGACCTCATCGGATAGAACTACTGCATTGCAGCGATCAAGATAGGAATATACTGCCCACACCTTAGAGACACGCCGACAAAAGAACTCCTTTCTTTCACTGATGCTGACCACCAGGGTCCCAAATCAGGGCTATCTGCCCTCACGGGCTAGGGCGGTGAAGAACCTGACTAATCCTGTCGGCAGAGCATGACCAGGGCCCTAACTCTTGTGCAGCCTAAAGGATCCGAAGGATTGTCGAAGAGGGGGAGCAAAACGAGGGCCAAGGCTGCAGGCTTATCAACCATCCACGACTACCCGTTCATGCAAGTCGGCAAATAAATATCATTCGAGTATCACACCTTACCCTTTCCTGCGCACGATCTCAGAATACGAGATTGGCGCGCCCACAACAAATCAACAACGTCTGCAATTCGACGGCCAAGACTTGCAAGGCGCATCGCAATATGGACCCTGTAAATCGGTTGGTTGACGATATATCGTGGCTAACGGCTGGCTAATCCAGAACGGAAAATGCACCACGACAAGCACTGAGTGTCATATCAGCTTGGGCTGACGAGAATGTTTGTCAGGACAAAGTGGCTAATTGGGAGAATGACGGTCTATAAAAAGAGTCTTCGAAGCCCGCGGTGAGTCGGACAGAGCATCATCAGTAATATCAACTCAACTTTATATCCCAGAATCTCCTTGCCTTGTTAGACTTCTCAAAATGGCGCCAACCACAAAGGGCCAAGCCCAAACCTCTACTGGACAATCTCAATACCAGCCTCCCTCCACTGGCATCTTCAGTCTCATGCCAGCCAGCTGGGTGCCCTACGCTGAACTGATGCGTCTGGACCGCCCAGCCGGCTTCTTCGCCTTCTACTGGCACTACCTGATCGGGATGAGCTTTGCCGCGGCAATCCTGCCTTCCGTATCCCTCCGTGCCCTAGTAGAAGCAGCGATCTACCAAATCGTGTGGGTGATCATCCTGCGCGGGGCCGTCTGCACCGTGAACGACAACTTCGACCAGGAGTTCGACCGCCAGGTCGCGCGGACCCGCTGGCGGCCCATTGCGCGCGGGGCGGTCTCCACCACACAGGCCAACCTCTTCGCCGCGGCCCAGGTCGCCCTCCTGGCCGGGATGGCCCTGCGGTGCCCGCTACAGCAAGCCGCGGGGTTGACCGCCGTCCCGCTCTACGCGAGCCTGACCACGCTGATCCTCAGCGTCTACCCGCTGGGGAAGCGGGTGACCGACATGCCGCAGATGATCCTTGGCGTAGGCTTTGCGGCGGCGATCCCCTTTTCGGCCGCCCTGCTGGGGCTTGATCTGTTCCCCGTGTCGCCCTTCGCCTTGCTGCAGGGCGAGGGGGGTGCGGATTCCCGGCTGGCGGCCGCGTCGCTCAGCCTGTGTGTGGCCTCGGGCCTCTGGACCGTCATCTTCGATACTGTCTATGCACACCAGGATCGCGCGGACGATATCAAGGCGGGCGTGCGCTCGCTGGCTGTTCGTCTGGGCGATCACACGAAGCCGGTGCTTGCCGTGCTGGCGGCCGCGCAGATCGGGCTCTTGGTGTTCACGGGCGTTCAGAGCCGGTTCTCCTTGGTGTACTTCGTGGCGTCGTGTGGAGGTGAGGCGCTTGCGTTGGCTACTATGCTCGTTGTGGTTGATTTGAGCAAGGCGGCGAGCTGTGCTTGGTGGTTTGGGAAGGGAACGGCTATTGTGGGGATTATTCTGCTTTCTGGATTGACTGGAGAGTATTTGTTGAAGTGATGTGATGTATGATTTCCTTTGAGATCAAGTCTCATCCCTGAACACCCGAGCGTTGCAGCTGTGGTGTATGGGCTATATCCTCCCCCCTCTGGGTCCATGGTTGAAAGATTATATATGGTTTAGATTGGATAGAGTACGTGCTAGCTAGAATATGATAATTTACTGCCCTGAGCCTTTCTGAAATGGACCTAAGAAAACTCTGGACTCTCAACTGTCGTCATTTGGTTCGAGGTTTGATCCTTCATTCGGAGTAGAAATCATACAAAAGCAGCAGTGCTCAGCGATCCCCACGTACGGCCATCACGCCAGAGTGTCAATAAGCGCGAATGTTTGATTGCTGTTCGATTCTTTGTCTCAAGAAGGATTATCTTCCCTGTCGGGCTAATGTGACAGCGCCCGCGCTAGAAGGAGATCCTTTCATCACGCCCACCTGGGCACATCTTAGCCCCTGCCCTGTCGGGCTTAGTTCACAATATAGGTTATGGGTTGAACCCATTTTCCTTGCAATGCCAATTCTTCCCCCGCTCGACCAAGATCATGCGGTCTACTTCGTAGATCTAGACACGAAATTCCTTTGTTTAGGTCTTGTCTTTGTGGAGAAGCAAAGGGCCTACAAACTTGCAAACTCTCCCCCAAGCCGCCACAGCGGCCTTTGACGAGTCATGTGATTTGAGCTACCCTATCTCCTCGCCTGTACGTTCCCCAAGACAGTACATCTAATCCAATGACTCTATGCCATGCCTTTCATTAATCTTGTTGACAATGGTGCGTGACAGCTATCAAGTATTACAGTCTGTCTTATCCCGGATATGGATACTTATATGCAACGCCATCTGGTCGACCAGCGTAATCCGCTTGTATCTGCATAAGCACATGCTTCTCAAGAGCAGAAGTGGTATTGTCTATGTCGGCTTTTCTAAGTACGTGATTTAAAGGCCTTCACCTCTTGTTTACATGCGGAGAACCTAGCTAGTAACAACAACCAAGAACTACTAAGGATCATACGGACACGGTCCAATCCATCTCTGAAGCCTCAAATTGCCGCTAATCTACAGGTGTATTTTACTGGTGAACAGTAGGACAACAAACCACTACCAGCGCAAGAATAGATACATCGCAAAACAACCT